AGAGGGTTGTCCCTGCCTGTTTGAAGGAGGCAGTGGTAAAACCGCTCCTTAGGAAACCTTCTCTGAATTCAGAAAGCCTAACTACTGGCCAGTTGTTGATCTCCCTTTCCTGGGCAAGGTTCTGGAGCAAGTGGTCGCAGACCAGATCCAGGTGCTTTTGGAAGAAACTGATTTTCTGGATCCATTTCAATCAGGGTTTAGGCCTGGTTTTGGCACGGAAACTGCTTTGGTCGCCCTGTATGATGACCTCTGTCGAGAGAGAGACAAGGGAAATGTGTCCCTGTTCATTGTTCTCCACCTCTCAGCGGCTTTTGATACCATCCACCATGGTATCCTTCTGGAGCGACTCTCTGAACTGGGGGTGGGTGGTACTGCTTTGTGGTGATTCCAGTCCTACTTGGATGGTCGTTCCCAAAGGGTGTTACTTGGGGAATTCATTTCAGCCCCTATGGAAGCTTCAATGTGGGCTTCCGCAGGGCCCAATCCAATCCCCCTTGTTGTTTAACATCTACATGAAATCACTGGGAGGGGTTATCCAGAGGTTTGGAGTACGTTGCCAGCAGTATGCTGATGACACTCAGCTCTATTTCTCCTTTCTATCTGTAGATGAGGCAGTGGAAGTGCTGGACCAGTGTCTTGCCTGGGTAATGGACTGGATGAGAGCCAACAAATTGAAGCTCACTCCAGATAAGGCTCAGTTAGTGGGTGGTTCCTAGAGCAGATGGCTAGGAGGTCACCTGCTCTTGATGGGGTTAGACTTCCTCTGGAGGAGCAGGTTCGTCGCTTGGGGATTCTCCTGGATCCTTTGCTGTCGCTCGAGGCTCAAGTGGCCAAGAGTGCCTTCCATCACGTCAGCTTAGGCTGGTGGCCCAGCTACACCCCTTTCTGGATAGGGATAGCCTATGTACCGTTGTCTATGCTCCGGGAACTTCAAGGTTAGATATAGATATGCGTTATACGTAGGGCTGCCTCTGAAGACAGTTTGGAAACTTCAGCTAGTGCAGAATTCAGCGGCCAGCTTGCTCACCGGCGGTTTGAGCATATTACACCCATCCTGGTCTGACTGCACTGGCTACCAATTAGTTTCTGGGTCCAATTCAAATTGCTGGTTTTGACTTGTAAAGCCTTAAATGGCTCAGGACCAGGAATACTTCAAGGACTGCTTCTTTCCATATGAACCTACCTGGACCCTGAGATCCCCTTATGAGGCCCTCCTTCGTGAGCCTCCTCCTCAAGTGGTCCGGAGGGTGGGAACACGAGAACAGGGCCTTCTCTGCAGGGGCTCCCTGTCTGTGGAATGCTCCCCCCAGGGAAGTTCGCCTGGCGCCTTTCTTATAAACCTTTGTTGTTGTTTACTCATCTTTGTCGTTTCCGACTCTCCGTTACCCCATGAACCAGAGCATGCCTTGGAAACAGTTGCTTTCCTCTCAAAGCTTCTCCTTTTTTATGTCCATGGAGCTTTCATGGCATAATACTGGAGTGGGTTGCCAGTTTCTTCTCCAGGTGGATCACATTTAGTCTAAACTCTCGGCTGACCTGTCTGTCTTGGGTGGCCCTGCACGGCATAGGTCATAGCTTCTCTGAGTTATTCAAGCCCCTTCGCCACGACATGAAGGGGTTTACACCTTTAGGTGCCATGCAAACATGTTCCTTTTTAACCAGGCTTTTGCTTGATATGTTTGACATCCTGTAGTCTTTTTCAAACGTGGCTCTTTTTTTGGGGGGGGGGGTTATTGGGTTGGTATTTTTATTCTGATTATATATGATGTGACCTTTCTGTGAACCACGCTGAGACCTCCGGGTATAGGGTGGTATATAAACTCAATAAATAATAATACTAACATTAATACTTTCATTATTTGTGCCCCACGGATTGGACTGGGTTGCCCCAGCCACTCTAGGTGGCTTCCAACAAATATAAAAGCACAAGAAAAAATAAAATATTAAAAACTTCCCTACACAGTGTTGCCTCCAGTTGTCTTCTAAAATTTGCATAGTTATTTTTTTGACAACTGTCGGGAGGGTGTTCCACAGGGTGGGCACCACTGCCAAGATGGCCCTCTGCCTTGTTCCCTGTAACTTCCCTTCTCACAGTGAGGGAACTGCCACAAGGCCCTGGGACCTGGATCTCTGTGTCCTGACTGAATGATTGGGGTGAAGACGTTCCTTTAGCATTTCATCAGTTTGCCTTTTTATTCCATCAGGAGATGTTGAAGGGATGCTGGCAGAAGGGGAACAATCAGAAGTGTCACCAAAAGGATCCAAAGAGGAGGGGGAGCAAAGGAAGCTGAGGGTTCAAGATGGAGGCAGAAGGCGAGAGGGGAGACGAATGCAGAAGCCGGAGGGTGACTCTGGTACGTCTCAGGGTGGTGTAAATCAAATTCCCAGAGAGGAGAAAAAGCATGAATGTTTGGAGTGTGGAAAGAGCTTCAGTAACAGTAGTGCCTTTATTTTGCATCAAAGAACTCATACAGGAGAGAAACCGTACACATGTTCAGAGTGTGGAAAAAGCTTCAGTCACAATAGTGCCCTTACCAGGCACCAAAGATCTCATACAGGGGAGAAACCGTATACATGTTCGGAGTGTGGAAAGAGCTTCAGCTGCAGTAGCTCCCTTAAGTCGCATCAAAGAACTCATACAGGGGAGAAACCGTATACATGTTCAGAGTGTGGAAGGAGCTTCAGTCAAAATAGTACCCTTACCTCGCATCAAAGATCTCATACAGGGGAGAAACCGTATACATGTTCAGAGTGTGGAAGGAGCTTCAGTCAGAATAGTTCCCTTACCTCGCATCAAAGATCTCATACAGGGGAGAAACCGTATACATGTTCAGAGTGTGGAAAGAGCTTCCGTGACAATCATAGCCTTACCAGGCACCAAAGATATCATACAGGGGAGAAACCGTATACATGTTCGGAGTGTGGAAAGAGCTTCACTAACAGTAGCCATCTTAAGTCCCATCAACGAACTCATACAGGGGAGAAACCTTATAAATGTTTGGAGTGTGGGAAGAGCTTCTGTCAGAGTACTGCCCTTACCTCGCATCAAAGATCTCATACAGGGGAGAAACCGTATACATGTTCAGAGTGTGGAAAAAGCTTCAGTGAACGTGGTACCCTTAGATTGCATAAAAGATCTCATACAGGGGAGAAACCGTATACATGTTCAGAGTGTGGAAAAAGCTTCAATCAAATTGGTGGCCTTACGTCGCATCAACGAACTCATAGAGGGGAGAAACCGTATACATGTTCGGAGTGTGGGAGTAGCTTCAGTTTGGGTAGCTCACTTAAGTCGCATCAGCGAACTCATACAGGGGAGAAACCGCATACGTGTTTGGAGTGTGGAATGAGCTTCGCTCGCAGCAATGCGCTTACTAGACATCAACAAACTCATCGAGGCAGCAAACCTTATAAATGCTGGGAATGTGGCAAGAACTTCAGTCGCATTGACTCCCTTTCCTCGCATGAAAGAATTCATACAGGGGAGAAACGATATACATGTTTGGAGTGTGGAAAGAGCTTCAGCTACAGTTGCAGCCTTACCTTGCATCAAAGATTGCACACAGGAGAGAAACCGTATAAATGTTTGGAGTGTGGCAAGAGCTTCAGTCGTGGTAGCTTCCTTACTTTGCATCAAAGAACTCATACAGGAGAGAAACCGTATACATGTTTGGAGTGTGGAAAAAGCTTCAGTCAGGGTAGCCACCTTAAGTTGCATCAAAGAACTCATACAGGGAGAAAATCTTAGAAATGTTTGGCCTATGGAAAGAACTTATGTGACAAGGACTCCCTTACTAAATTGAAAAGAACTCGTACAAGGGAAACAGAAAGGGTTGGCGGTGTGGGAAGATATTTAATCATATCAAATAACTCCTACAGAGAGTACACCAATGATTGTGTTCAGAATTAGAATTTGCTTCCATTAGAATTTTTATTCCTTTTAGTGGCTGTGTTGCAGATTGTTCTCCTGATCAGAGTTGGATTTACATAGCTATTTTCTATTTTCTTTCTCATGCGTTATTTCCCATGTATTCATCACTTGTATATAGCGTTGCTTTAATATTTCTCCCATCCCCAAAATTTGTTAATCTGGTGTGAATTGATCTGATATTTTTCATAGACACAATGCATTCGCTGGTATTCTGTTGCCGTATGTAAATGACGTATCTTTGCAATGAGAGTATAGCCCCACAGATCACAGCTCTAATGAACAAATGCTGTTGAAAAACATATACTGTATAATAATCCTCAATACGCAGTCAAGAGAGAAATTCTTCTTCTTTGGCGATCGTTCGTAGCCGAATAAGATTGTCTTCCATAAACACTGTTTTAACAATGAGTCCGTAAGTGACTGTGGAGGCCAATTCTGGACCCACACGTCCTTCCACAGTGGGGACATAGCTTTCCAGGTGGGAGTTGATCATGGTTAGGGTTTGCCATGCATGCCTTCCTCTTAGCACGCTTCTCCCTTGCGTCCTGAGTTCGAGTGTCTTCAAAATCCATGACGCCTTCGGTCGAGAGAGAAATTAGAACAGTATAGAAGATGCATTGGTTATCCAGCCTGTGTCTAGAGTGTTAATAGCTTACTGTTTTACGATGTTTGTTTCTTCACCTTCATCTGCCTAGGAGGGATTTCAGTTTTATGTCTCCGAAATATCCAGGCAGTGGTCGGAATAGAGGCAATGGAAAGAATATGACATCTTCAAAGCTGGCTGCATCATAGACAATTAAATGATATCTTTAAAGAGGACAATAAGAAAAGCTTCTCATAGTCGGTTTCCAAATTCCAACGAGGCAGTGATAGAAGAAAGTACAAAATTATTTTTAAAAGGCATATAACATTCTTTTGGAGTGGGAAACCAAAGACAAAGAAGTAAAATTGGTAATGATTAAATGGGCCATAACATACAATTTGAAGATTGGATAAAATTGTGGAAAGTAAATTTGAAATTTACAGATGGTATACTATTGAGAGAGAACTATATGAAAATGATGTATAGATGGTATCACCAGTTAAACTGGAAAAAATGTATAAAAATGAAAAGAAAGAGTCTTGGAGATGTGAAATAGAAGGTACACTTTATCGTACGTGGTGGGATTGTAAAAAGGTAAAAGCCTATTGGGAAATGATATATAATGAATTGAAGAAAATGTTGAAAATAACGTTTCTAAAAAAACTAGAAGCCTTCTTACTAGGTATTTTAGGCCAAGACATAAGGAAAGAAAAGAGGACTTTATTTATGTATGCCACTACAGCAGCAAGAATGTTGATTGCACAAAATTGGAAGACTGGAGAAATACCAAGTAAAGAACAATGGCAAGAGAAGTTGATGAACTATGAGGGGAGAGACTCCATCAGGCAAGGCCTCCTTCCACCTGCCTTGCCCCACTCTCTGCTTCTCAATGTGTATTGTATTGTTTTATGTACTGTGGCTTGCCATTGTTTTATTGATTACAGTTTAGATATTATTGTAACTGTTGAGTGGATTTCTGTTTAACTTTTATACGTTGATATTATTATTTTATACTATTCTAATTGTTGAATGTTACTTTTTGGATGGAGGTTGCCTATTTTAAAGTTATGCTTTATTATCACATTTTTGTATTGCATTAGATTGTTATAAGATGTACATTTTTTGTTTCCTCAGCTTGTAAACCGCCTTGAGTATTGTAAGATAGAAAGGCGGTATACAAATTAAAAATGATGATGATGATGTAGAACTGGCAAAAATGACAGACAGACTAAGAGAAAAGGACAACAGAGACTTTGAAAAACAATCGGAACCATTTATAGAAACAAAGAAACAAAGATAGACTTGATGGCAGGATTTAAATAAACATTCACACTATTAGTATTAGAAAATGTCTAGAAGATAGAGAAATATGGTGTGTTTACTTTTATGTATTTAGGTTTGATGTTATGTTATTAATAACTTTTTCTGTTAGGAGGTAGCAAGGTGGGTGAAAAGAGTAACAAACCAGAAGCGGAAGTTGGGGAAGCCTAGGAGGGGAGGGAGGAAGGAATACATAGTAAATGTTAAGACTTTGAGATGTATGTAATGAATGAAAAAGAAAAATGAATAAAATTTTATTTCAAAAAACCAATGAGTCCGTAAAAACCAATGAGTCCGACTATGGAGGTCAATTCTGGACCCACACGTCCTTCCACAGTGGGGACATAGCTTTCCAGGTGGGAGTTGATCATGGTTAGGGTTTGCCATGCATGCCTTCCTCTTGGCACGCTTCTCCCTTGCGTTCTGAGTTCGAGTGTCTTCAAAGTCCATGACGCATTTGGTCGAGAGAGAAATTAGAACAGTATAGAAGATGTATTGATTTTCCAGCCTGTGTCTAGAGTGTTAATAGGTCACTGTTTCAGGATGTGTGTTTCTTCACCTTCATCTGCCTAGGAGGGATTTCAGTTTATGTCTCCAAAATATCCAGGCAGTGGCCGGTTCCTGATGGGATGTATTTGGGCTGTGTGTTCTCCCCCCAGCTCTCCCCTCCTCTAGAATTTCCCGTAACACCCCCCCACACACACACACATTCTGGAAATGTGAAATCCACTATGTAGCTATGTGCAGGTATTTGTTTATCTTATAATCTGGGAAAGGAAGAAGATGCAACCTCATCCAGCACACATTAAAAACCCCAATTATGTTTTAAATACAATTTTTAGATACATCAGTTTTGCACGGAAGAGCAGTCAAACATTTCAAAATACATATGTGTTAGCGAGACAGTTTCCTTGTTGCATAGTCTAGTGAAAGGCAATGTTTCAGAACAGAACCCTGCTGATGAAATACCAAGTTACAGGTAGGTAGCCGTCTTGGTCTGCCATAGTCGAAACAAAATAAATAAATAAATAGATTAGATAAGATAAGATTCCTTCCAGTAGCACCTTAGAGACCAACCAAGTTTATTATTTGTACACTTCTTCCGATACACTGAAACAGAAGTCACCAGACCCTTCTATATAGTGAGATGGTGGGGAGGGATATTACTAAGAAGCCGGTGGGAATGGGTGACTGGCTGATAAGTGTGGTAAACCTGTTGAGGACTGTTAACGCCTGCAATTGGCCTTACAGGAAAAAACAAGGGGTGAGATGGCTAAAATAGCTTTATCATGTATAACGAGATAAGAATCCAATGTCTCTCTTCAGACCAGGTCTCTCCATGGTTTTAAGTTTGGTAGTAAGTTGCAATTCAGCAACTTCTCTTTCCAGTCTATTTCTGAAATTCTTTTGTAATAAGACAGCGACTTTCAGATCTTGTATAGAATGTCCTGGGAGATTGGAGTGTTCTCCTACTGGTTTCAGAAATACCTGATAGTGCAGGTAATAGTCCAGCAAACTTAACCCATCTTCTCCAATCGACGCCTGTTGCTCATGCCTAGAGATGGGAAGGCCTGGAAAAAAAACTAGAAAAATTTGGGGGAGGGGGACACAGATTTTTCCTGAAGCCCTTTTTTCCTGAAAAAAATGTAAAAAATTGTTTGATATAGTTTGAATATAACACATTTTTATTTTCCCCCCCCCCCCCACCCCCCCCCCCCCCCCCCCCCCCCCCCCCCCCCCCCCCCCCCCCCCCCCCCCCCCCCCCCCCCACCCCCCCCCCCCCCCACCCCCAGGCAGGGAGGCTGGGGCCGGATCCTGCTCCAGCCCAGAGCAGCTTAGAGCAGGACCTGAGGTTCCCCCACGTCTGGCTCAGCCCCTTTGTGGTCCACACTCACTTGGCCAGCCTTTGCCTTGAAGCAGAACCTGGAAAGAATAGGAAAAGAGGCTGCAGGAGACAATCCTTCAGCCATATTGGAGGCTGCTGCCCAAATCCCCAAACTGCCCCACTTGGGAGATCCTCGGAAGAGCTATGAAGACCCTCCTAGATGTAGACACCCTCAGTTCAGTTGCTAGTGCCAGAGATTCAGGCATTCCCGTTACCAGGAGGCCAAGGGACCCCGAGAGGGACTCCACCGCCTTTGCAGAAAGTGGCTGGAGCCAGAGCGACACACCGAGGCTCAGATCCTGGACCTGGTAGTCCTGGAGCAATTCCCAGCGGTCCTCCCCCCGGAGATGGAGAACTGGGTGAAGGATCAGGGAGCGGAGACCAGTTCCCAGGCGGTGTCCCTGGCCAAAGATTTCCTCCTGAGCCGGGCAGAGGAGAAGCAGCAGCAGGTGAGACAGTTTCATCCTGGTAACACCCAGATATCCGCGGTGGCTGGTGAATTCTGAGTGTGGTGTCTCTTAAAAGGCGAAAGTGGCTCTTGGGTGCAGAAGGTTCTGGGTTCGATCTCCAGGAGGGCCTGGGAAATCGTCCCTGCCTGAAACCTGGAGGGGGGGGTGGAATTGCATTTGCACATGTGGCAACACATGGTAAACTTAAAGCCTCTACTGTTAGAAAATTATTCCACTTGTGATGCATATCTACAAGCAGTGCAATGTCCGCATTTGAAAAAACCACCTGGAGCTGTGGTCAAGGTCTGGTGTGTAGAGGTGTGTGGTAAGTCAGTATGTACTAGCATATCTCTAAGTGATCTGGTGCGTCATTTATCAAAGCAGGAAAAGACCTCACAGCCTGGAATATTCAATCTCACTGGGCAAAAGACATATACCACTTGAATCATGGGAAAAGATTTTAAAATTCGCAGCATGCAGTTCATTAAAAGAAAATTCTATGAAGATGATGTACCGATGCTATTTCACTCCAGTAAGCTTACTAAAATGTATAAAGATACCTCTAATTTATGCTGGAAATGTAAGGATATGGAAAGTCCTTTTTTTCTTTTTCATATGTCGTGGACATGTAAAAAAGTAAAGGGCTTCTGGGAAATTATAAAAAATGAACTTAAAAAAATGTTTAAAATTACGTTTGTTAAAAAATCAGAGGCCTTTCTTATTAGGTGTAATAGGAGAAAATATGCCAAGGAAGCAAAAGAGACTGTTCATTTATGCGACTACAGCGGCCAGATGCTACTATCCCAGATGTGGAAAGAAGAAAAGGTCCCAAGGAAAGAAGAATGGATAACTAAGATGAGTGACTATGTCGAAACGGCTAAACTAACCCTGAAGATCAGGCACCAAGATGAGAAAAAAATCAATCAAGAATGGGAAAACTCAATAGACACGTTTAAATAACACTGTAAAAGAGGCAAAACATTAGCAGGTTTGGTGTAACATTTATGAACTAAGAATAGAATTGGGGGGGGGAGAAGTTGAAATTAATTGGGAGAAATATAATTATATGCAAGGAGAATAACAGGGGGGGGATGGAAACCGGGGGGGGGGGGGGAGTCATCTATTGCAAATTTGTATTGGATATGTATTCTGTATACCAAAAGTAAAAATGTTGTTATTTTGAAATTCGAACATAAAATATATATTTTTTATAATAAATAGTTTAAGAAACGTTTTGAGGCGCCCGCGCAGCTGATCCAGCGGGGCTTTCCGGAGGCGAGACCAGCGCCTCTCCTCGCTCTTTGCCCGGAGAAGTCAAGAGGCTCCTGCCGCTCGGCTCTGAAACGGTTAAGAGCAGCGGCGACAGAGCTGAGATTCCTAGAGCGGAGGAAAAAAGGCTGCCGGGAGAATAGCAGCTTCCGCTTCCTGTCCCGCTTTTGGGGGGCGGGAGATGCGGGTCATGGCGGCGGCTCTCCTTCCTCGTGGAGGCGCTGGAGGTGCGTCATATTATTTTGTATTATAACGCGAGTGCAGCTGGGGGGAGTGTGGAGAGGGAGTTTCAAAAAACCCTATTAGGTAAACCGTTTCAATGTAAGTTTTTTTCTATGTCTCCTTTTTCTGGTATTTCATATAATATTTTCAGTTCCCATTATTAATGCATTTCTGTACATTATTCTGCTAAAATAATACATTTATAGGTCTTTCCCCCTTTGAATGGGGGTAGGAAATCTTTTCCCAATGGAGGGCAGATCTTTCTCCTGCTCTCCTCCCTGCAGGCCAACTTGGGCAGGTGGGGGACCTTCCTTCGTCTCGCCATAAGGCTTGGGCTCAAGGCAGAACCTTGTGCATTAATAATAATATTTATTTATTTATACCCCGCCCTCCCTGGCCAGGACCTAGCTCAGGGTGGCTAACACGAAATATAAATTATTATAAAATGTAGTAGGGAAAAAAATACAAAAAAATAGTTGCTTAAAATACTGTGGATGAAAGATCCAAATTAATGCATTAAACACTGGTAAGGACTCATTATCAAGCCTACCTAGTGGCAGTGAAGGCAGCAAAGAAGGCATAGTTTTCTGCCTCTATTCCATCCTCATTATGTCGTCTGGCAGAGATTTTCTGGGTTGTAAGGGGCCTTTTACAGGCAGGCCCAAAGGAGGAGTAGAACGAGCAGTAGCTGGCTGTGACTTGTTTGCAAAGCATTTTGAAGATAAAATTGCTTGTATCCACCAAGACCTTGACTCTGCTGTTACAGCAGATGAATCTCATGGGGTGTCCAGAGCACAGTCTAGTCCTGTTGTGTTTTTTCAGTTGGTAAGGCTCATGGATATGGACAAGGTGCTTGGATCAGTCAGGGCCTCTGTTTGCACTCTAGACCCTTTCCCCTCTTGGCTGATAAAATCCAGCAGGGAGGGAACAGCTGGCAGGACCAAGGAGATGATCAGTGCCTCTTTACAAGAGGGGGTTATCCCTGCATGTTTGAAGGAGGCAGTGATAAAACCACTCCTTAACAAACCTTCCCTGGATTCAGAAAACGGAACTAACTACTGACCACTTGCTAATCTCTGGGCAAGGTTCTGGAACGAGTGGTCGCAGACCAGATCCAGGTGCTTTTGGAAGAAGCTGATTTTCTGGATCCATTTCAACCAGGGTTTAGGCCTGGTTTTGGCGCAAAAAACTGCTTTGGTCACCCTGTATGAGGACCTCTGTCGAAAGAGAGACAAGGGAAATATGTCCCTGTTCATTGTTCTCAACCTCTCAGCGGCTTTTGATACCATCAATCATGGTATGCTTCAGGAGTGATTCTCTGAACTGGGGGTGGGTGGCACTGCTTTGCGGTGGTTCCAGTCCTACTTGGATGGTCGTTTCCAAAGGGTGTTACTTGGGGAATGCTTTTCAGGCCCGTGGAAGCTTCAATGTGGGGTTCCGCAGGGCCCAATCCTATCCCCCATGCTGTTTAACATCTGTATAAAATTGCTAGGTGGGGTGATCCGGAGGTTTGGAGTACGTTGTCAGCAGTATGCTGATGACACTCAGCTGTACTTCTCCTTTCTATCTGCAGGTGGGGCAGTGGAAGTGCTGGACCAGTGTCTTGCCTGGGTAATGGACTGGATGAGAGCCAAGAAACTGAAGCTCAATCCAGAAAAGACTGAGGTGCTATTAGTGGGTGGTTCCCTAGAACAGATGCTTGGAAGCTTGCCTGCTATTGATGGGGTTACACGTCCTTGAAGGAGCAGGTTCGTCGCTTGGGGTTCTCCTGGAACCTTTGCTGTCACTCGAGGCTCAGGTGGCCAAGAGTGCCTTCCATCAACTTTGACTGGTAGCCCAGCTACACCCCTTTCTGGACAGGGATAGCCTATCTACCATTGTCTATGCTCTGGCAACTGCAAGGTTAAATATAGATATGTGTTATACGTAGGGCTGCCTCTGAAGACAGTGTGGAAACTTCAGCTAGTGCAGAATTCAGTGGCCAGGTTGCTCTCTGGAGCAAGGCGGTTTGAGCATATTACCCCCACCCTGGTCTGACTGCAATGGCTACCAATTAGTTTCCAGGCCCAATTCAAAGTGCTACCTTTGACCTATAAAGCCTTTAATGGCTCAGGACCAGAATACTTCAAGGACTGCTTCTTTACTTATGAACCTACCCGGACCCTGAGATCCCCTTCTGATCTCAAGTGGTCCGGAGGGTGGCAACATGAGAACAATGCCTTCTCTGCAGTGGCTCCCCGTCTGTGGAATGCTCTCCCCAGGGAAGTTCACCTGGCACCTTCATTATACACCTTTAGGTGCCAGGCAAAAAAGTTCATTTTTAACCAGAATTTTGGTTGATATGTTTGACATTCTATACCCTTTTTCAAATATGGCTCTTTTCTTGTGAGGGGAGGATGTTATTGGGTTGTTGTTTTTATTCTGATTATATATGTTGTGATCTTTTCTGAGAACCACGCTGAGACCTCTGGTTATAGGGCGGTAAATAAACTCAATAAATAATAATACTAATAAATACTTTCATTATTTAAAAGCATTATAAAACATCAAATATTAAAAACTTCGCTATACAAGGTTGCCTTCAGATGTCTTCTAAAACTTCTATAGTTGTTTATTTGACATCTGACGGGAGGGCGTTCCACAGGGTGGGCACCACTACCAAGAAGGCCCTCTGCCTCGTTCCCTGTAACTTCCCTTCTCACAGTGAGGGAACTGCCACAAGGCCCTGGGACCTGGATCTCGGTGTCCTGACTGAATGATTGGGGTGAAGACGCTCCTTTAGCATTTCATCAGTTTGCTTTTTTATTCCATCAGGAGATGTTGAAGGGATGCTGGCAGAAGGGGAACAATCAGAAATGTCACCAAAAGGATCCAAAGAGCAAAGGAAGCTGAGGGTTCAAGATGGAGGCAGCAGGCAAGAGGGGAGACAAAAGCAGAAGCCGGAGGGTGACTCTTGTATGTCTCAGGCTGGTGAAAATCAAATTGACAAAAAGGAGAAAAAGCATGAATGTACATTGTGCGGACAGAGATTTTGTAATCGCTCAGCTCTTACTTCACATCAACGAACTCATACAGGGGAGAAACCGTATACATGTTCAGAGTGTGGAAAGAGATTCAGTCGGAGTGGTACCCTTATATTGCACCAACGAACTCATACAGGAGACAAACCTTATACGTGTTCAGTGTGTGAAAAGAGCTTCACTCAAAGTAGTGGCCTTACTTTGCATCAAAGATCTCATACAGGAGAGAAACCGTATACATGCTCAGAGTGTGGAAAGAGCTTCACTCAAAGTAGTGACCTTACCTTGCATCAAATATCTCATACAGGGGAGAAACCGTATACGTGTTCTGAGTGTGGAAAGAGCTTCAGTCACAGCACTGCACTTACTAGACATCAACAAACTCATCGAGGCAGCAAACCTTATAAATGTTCGGAATGTGGCAACAGCTTCAGTCGCATCGACTCCCTTTCCTTGCATCAAAAAATTCATATAGGGGAGAAACGATATACATGTTTGGAGTGTGGAAAGAGCTTCATTCAGAATGGCACCCTTACCTTGCATCAAAGAGTGCACACAGGAGAGAAACCGTATAAATGTTTGGAGTGTGGAAAGAGCTTCAGTCGTAGTAGCTCCCTTACATTGCATCAACGAACTCATACGGGAGAGAAACCGTATACATGTTCGGAGTGTGGAAAAAGCTTCATTTGCAGTAGCTCCCTTATGTTGCATCAAAGAACTCATACAGGGGACAAACCATATAAATGCTCCGAGTGTGGAAATAGCTTCAGGCGCCGGAGTCACCTAACTAGACACCAAAGAAGTCATATAGGGAGGAAATCTTAAAAATGTTTGGCACATGGAAAGAACTTCAGTGACAGGGGCTCGCTTCCTAAACAGGAACACGTACAGTGGTGCCCCGCAAGACGAATGCCTCGCAAGACGGAAAACTCGCTAGACGAAAGAGTTTTCCGTTTTGGAGGTGCCTCGCAAAACGAATCTGCTATGGGCTTGCTTCGCAAGACGAAAATGTCTTGCGAGTTCCTGGGGTTTTTTTTCCCTTTCCCCCCTCTTTTTCTAAGTCGCTAAGCTGCTTATCTGCTTATCCGATAAGCTGATAAGCTGCTAAAAGCCGCTAAAAGCCGCTAATAGCGCTAATCCGCTAATCCGTCAATGGGCTTGCTTCGCAAGACGAAAAAACCGCTAGACGAAGAGACTCCCAGAACGGATTCTTTTCGTCTTGCGAGGCACCACTGTACAAGGGAAGTATCTTAGAAACGGTTGGAGTGTCTTTAATCATATCAAATAACTTCTACAGAGAGTAAACCATGAATCGTTTTCTGGTCGTCCCCCCCCCCCATATTTCTGTCATTCACTAAAATGCTTGTACTTCCAATGACAAAAGCACAAGCCCTTCCTGGGAATTCCTGGGCATAGAGCGACTGAACCCCAGACCCCAAAAAGAAATCAACCTTAACCAGCACGCAATGCTAAAAAATTCTGTTTTAAATGCAGTTTTTTCTGATATACAGTGGTGCCCTGCAAGACGAATGCCTCGCAAGACGAAAAACTCGCTAGACGAAAGGGTTTTCCGGTTTTTGAGTCGTTCCGCAAGACAAATTTCCCTATGGGCTTGCTTCGCAAGACAAAACGTCTTGCGAGTTTGTTTCCTTTTTCTTTAAGCCGCTAAGCTGTTAATAGCCGCTAAGCCGTTAATAGCTGCTAAGCCGCTAATAGCTGTGCTTCGCAAGACGAAAAAACCGCAAGAGAAGAATGCAAGCAGATCCTTAAGGCCGGGTTTGCTGCTGAGGTCCACGGGAACGCCAGGATCTAAGCCAGGAAACCTTGGTCCGTTGTGGGGATCTCTTTCTCTGTGCACATGCGACTTGTTAGGAAATTAATTTTGGAAATGCATTGTACCAACAGGGCAGTCAAAAATTTGAAGAATATTTGCACCCAACTTACTGCACCCAACTCACTGCCTATTGATATGAGGCAGTCGCTTTCACTGTGTTTTAATCCAGGTTTTATTGTTTATTTCGTTATTTTTAACAATAAAATAGTCATTTTAGGGTTTTTTTACTGATAATGTCATTGTTTTATTTTTCCTGAACCATGGATTTAAAAAATCCCAAACATATACATACAGTAAAGCTGCATGTAAATTTTAGGGAACAAAATAATGAACGCCTACAAAAGATGAAATAGCCAAAACAAGTGTGCAGTTCCTAAGAATCCATTTACAACTCGCTTCAGTGCAGGTTTTCTCAGGAGTCAGTCCCACTGTTCCCAAAAGGTGCTTAATCTCAGGGAAGAGCTGTATGTCAGCCTGTCTAACGCTTCTCAGGGAATTAAGAGACAACGCTCAAGATTTCTTGTTGTGGGCCACTGAACTGAGACAAAAGGTCAAATTGCCCCCCCATTCAGCTGCTACCGCCCACCAGAGGGTAAATGGAAGGTGCATGTATTGTCTTTCTCCCCAGAGGGATGATTTCAATTGCGAAAACGACACTGTAGGAACCCAAGAAGCTGCCTTGTACCAGCTGATGAAGGTGAATACATCGAAACAGGGCCCTGTCCCGGTTTCCGATCCATAATTGACTTCTGACTTCTGTTTAATGATTGAAAGTAAGAGCTCCACGTCGAATATGACTATGGATGAACATGTACTTATCTCTACTCATAAACTCTTATCTCTATTTCTGTAACGATTTTTTGTGTTCTACATGTCCTTATGAGTTTGAGTTTGTAATCTGTATTTGAGTTTATAATCCTTGTCAGAATACATACTTTTGAATGGATTAGTTTTTGTCACAATTGACTATTGATTTGCTAATAGGGACGACTCCCACTACTGAAACTTACATTGGCCTGAGTTCTTGGTGTGCTTTTCTCTTGGTATATTTAATAACAAGAACTCCAACTTATTTAACGTTAATCTCAGGGAAAAGCGGATAAATTCAGTTTTGGGATTCCCCAGGCAGAAGAGATTTTGGTCCTCTGAGGGTTAAATGCAGTGAGAGAGGAAATTATGCTTTTCCTTCCTCTCTGCTTGCCTGAATTCTGCAGGCTTTCCCCAAAGGTCTGGGGTGTTACAGATCCTTTCCTCACTATTTGTGCCACCTGGCTCAGATCCAGTTCCATCACAATGTGATTGCTTACAGGAATCTGTGTTTGACAGTGAATGGTCTCCCCTTCCTTGGAGGTTTTTAAGCAGAGGTTGGATGGCCACCTGTCAGGGATGCTTTAGCTGAGATTCCTGTATTGCAGGGGGTTGGACTAGAGGACCTTTGGGGTCCCTTCCAACTCTATCATTCTATGGAAGCGGCCCATACATACACACACACATCCCCCCTTGCCCAGCCCATTCACAAGGTGGGAACATAAATAACGCAGGGAAATTGAAATGCAATCTGTGACACACACCCCCCTTTTAACACAGTGGCTCCCAGACTTTCTGGCTCCCACCTTCTTGGTTCCATAAAATCGTCCCAATGCCTTATTATTATTATTATTATTTATATACCGTCCTATACCTTGGGGTCTCAGAATAAAATCCAGATCCAAACCATAAAATACAAAATAAAAACCAAAACAACCCGCACAAATCTGTGTGTGTGTGTGTGTGTATAGGGTTGGGCTAGATGACCATTAGGTCCCATTCCAACTTTTCCCCATTCTTAGATTCGATATCCTGCCTTTTTCTCCAAGGAGCTGAACGTAGCATATAATACATGGTTCTTCCTCTCCTTTAATCCCCTACAACAACCCTGTGAGGTAGGTTAGGCTGGGAGGCAATGACTTGCCCCATGGCCACCCGGTGGAGAATTTGATCCCTGGTCTCCCAAGGCCATAGTCCAGCACTCTAACCACTATACCACACTGCCTCTCACCACTGCCTAAGATGTCCCAACCTTCTGAAAGTAGAGATCAGAATCCCCCAAAAGGATTTTCTTCCACCCCAGCTGTCTGGTGCTCAAAGGGTTAAAGATGAAGTGCAGGATTCCTAGAGAGGCAACAGGAAACAGGAGGAGGAGCTTGGTCCTCCAGGACAAGCGCCCCTCCTCCCTCCTGCCTTGTACATGGTTCTTTTGCAGAAGAGAGGCTGCAGAGGTTGGATGCATGGAAGGAAGCAGGCAGGGAGGCTGGGGCCGGATCCTGCTCCAACCCAGAGCAGCTTGAAGCAGGACCTGAGGTTCCCCCACCTCTGGCTGAGGCCCCTTGTGGTCCACGCTCCCTTGGCCAGCCTTTGGCTTGAAGCAGAACCTGGAAAGAATAGGAAAAGAGGCTGCAGGGGACAATCCTTCAGCCATATTGGAGGCTGCTGCCCAAATCCCCAAACCGCCCCACTTGGGAGATCCTGGGAAGAGCTATTTTGACCCTCCTGGATGAGGACGCCCTCAGCTCACATGCTCAGCGCCAGAGATTCAGGCATTCCCGCTACCAGGAGGCCAAGGGACCCCGAGAGGTTTGCAGCCGACTCCACCGCCTTTGCAGGGAGTGGCTGGAGCCAGAGAGAGACACCGAGGCTCAGATCCTGGACCTGGTGATCCTGGAGCGATTCCTGGCTGTCCTTCCCCTGGAGATGGAGAACTGGGTGAAGGATCAGGGAGCGGAGACCAGTTCCCAGGCAGTGGCCCTGGCCGAAGGTCTCCTCCTGAGCCAGGCAGAGGAGCAGCAGCAGCAGGTGAGACAGTTTCATCCTGGTATCTCCCAGAGATCTGTGGTGGCTAGTGAATTCTGAGGGTGGTGTCGCTTAAAAGGCGAAAGTGGCTCTTGAGTGCAGAAGGTTCCGGGTTCGATTTCCGACATCTTCCGGCGGGGCTAGGAAATCGTCCCTTCCTGAAACCTGGAGAGATGCTTCCAGTCTGTGCAGACAGCACGGATCTAGATGGTCCAATGGTCTGGTTCTGGACTAGGCAGCTTCCTTGGTTCCTATTTAAACAGCTCTTCATTCTGAAGCAAGAGAACTAGAAACTTGCTTTGCCTTTCACCTGTGCCCTCGATATTATTTGAGCGCAATTTCAGCACCCCTTCACATTTTTCTGTTTTTTCCTGTCTATGTATTATTTCCCTACACTGTGCCCACCCCCTCCAGGAATGTTCTCTCTCTCTCCCTGCTGAGTTGATTCCCCCTCCCCCCATATTTGAGCGAAAGGGATCCATAGGTCATAGAATAAACATGTCCCCCATATTGGTCTCTACAGCCAGAGAAGGCCCTGCAACTCTCCCAACATCTTGACCTCATCCCCAAAGGCGCACTCCTCCATGGTCTCCATGCCAACATCATCATGGATTCCTGGATTGCAGCGGGTTGGACTAGATGACCCACAGGGCCCTTCCACTCTATGATTCTATTCACAATATTTTCTTACAGTCCTCAGAGGCAGCAGTGCTTCTGAATACCAGTTTCAGGAGAGGAGAGCGCTCTTCTGCTCGGATCCTGCCCTCTGGTTCCCTCTGGTTGGCCACTGTGAGAACAGGATTCTGCCCTAGAAGGGCCACTGACTTGATCAAGCAGTTCTTCTTAATGTTTATAATAATATAAAAATAGTATGCAAATACAGTCAAACCTTGGCTCCTGAACACCTCCGTCTTGGATTCCTTACGCCATGAGCATCACAATTATAACAAATAAGGCTTGACATATCTCGCTTTGCATGTCATGATTCTATCTCATATCTTAGTTTCACCTTTTAAGTTGAATTACTGAAATAAGTGAACTTTTCCATGATATTCTAATCTTTCGAGTTTCACCTGTAATGATACATTGGGCAAAAGATATAGGTTATAATATACCGGTTGAATCATGGGGAAAACTGTGCAAAGAGATTTTAAAATTCACAGCATGTAGTTCATTAAAAGAAAATTATATGAAGATGATGTACCGATGGTATTTCACCCCAGTAAAGCTTGCTAAAATGTATAAAGATACCTCTAATTTATACTGGAAATGTAAGGATAAGGAAGGTAATTTTTTCCCCTACGTGGTGGACGTGTAAAAAAGTAAAGGGCTTCTGGGAAATGATATACAATGAACTTTTAAAAATTCTTAAAATTACGTATGTTGAAAAAACCACAGGCTTTTTTACTAGGTGTAATAGGAGAAAAAATGCCAAGGAAGCAAAAGATACTGTTTATTTATGCGACTACAGGGGCCAGATGCTACTAGCCCAGATGTGGAAAGAAGTAAAGGTCCCAACGAAAGAAGAATGGATAACTAAGATGATTGACTATGTCGAAACGGCTAAACCTACCGAGCAGATGAGAAAAAATTCAATCAAAAATGGGAAAACTTTATAAGCTATTTTAGAGAACACTGTAAAAAGTCAAAACATTCGCTGGTTTAATGTAACATTTATGAACTAAGAATAGAATTAGGAGGGAGAAAATAGGTTGAAATTAATTGAGGAAATATATAGTAATTGTAATATATTGTAATGCAAGGAGAATAAAAGGGGGAAATGGAAAGGGGGGGGAAGGCAATTATTGCAAATTTTGATTGGATATGTATGTACCAAAAGAAAAAACGTTGTTAATTTGAAAATTGAAAATAATTATAATAATAAATAGTTTAGAAAACGTTTTGGGGCTCCCGTGCAGCTGATCCAGCGGGTCTTTCTGGAGGCGAGACCAGCGCCTCTCTTCGCTCTTTGCCCGGAGAAGCCCAGAGGCTCCTGCCGCTCGGCTCCGAAACGGTTAAGAGCAGCGGCGAAAGAGCTGGGATTCCTAGAGCGGAGGGGAAAAAGGCTGCCGGGAGAATAGGAGCTTCCGCTTCCTGTCTCGCTTTGGTGCGCAGGTGGGGGTCAGTTGCTGGTCATGGCGGCGGCCGTACTTTCTCGCGGAGGCGCTTCAGGTGCGTCTTATTATTATGTATTATAAGGGGAGGGAGAATGGGGGTGCAGCTGGAGGGAGTGTGGGGAGGGATGAAAAAGAACCCTACTAGACAAACCGTTTCAATGTAAGTTTTTTCTGTCTCCTTTTTCTAGTCGTCAATTTACCCAGATTTTCACATGTTATTATTTTTAAGTAGTGTTAATTTTAAATAATTTAATTTTAATTTATTTCAACCTCTTGAAAGTTGGTCAGCATTTTGGTGTAGATTTCTCCTAATGCCCACGCTTTTGCAAAGGGTATTTCCCATAATATTTACATTTGCCATAATTAATGCATTCTGTATATAATTCAGCTAAAATGATTCATTTATAGGTGTTTCCCCATTTCTATGGGGGTAGGACATCTTTTCCCAATGGAAGGGCAGATCTTTCTCCTCCCTGCAGGCCAACGTGGGCAGGTGGGTGACCTTCCTTGGTCTCTCCATAGGGCTTGGGGTCAAGGCAAACCCTTAAGCATTGAAAAACCTTCTGCAGGGGCTCCCCCTGGAATTTGTAATAATTTTTATCCGGCCTGATTTTACTATTACTTATTAAATTTATATACCTCCCAATACCCACAGGCCTCAGGGCCGTTCACAGGATAAAATTACAATATAAGAACTCAAAGTACAATATCAAAACATAAACAAAAGCAAGCCAATACCCCCCCCAACACACACATTTTATATATTTTTGTTTCAATTAAGTAAGCAGTTTCTGCAAGAGCAGTTCGGGGCAGAAGAGGTTTTAAAAAAAAGGAGAAGCAAGCAATTTCAAGTCCACTTTAAAAGTGTGGCTGAGGCCTTATACAGACAGGTTAATAATGATAATAGTACTGGTAATACAACTACTAATAATATGAATACCCCAGAGCGTCCTCGCCCACTTTGTGGAGCCCAATTGGCCCCCTGGTACACTCCAAGCTGGGAGACTGAGCACAAGTGGATGAAAGACCCGAATTAATGAAACCAAACACTGGTAAGGGCTCATTATCAAGCCTACCTAGTGGCAGTGAAGGCAGCAAAGAAGGCATAGTTTTCTGCCTCTATTGCATCCTCAACATGTCGTCTGGCAGAGATTTTCCAGTTTGTACAGGGCCTTTTACAGGCTGGCCCAAAGGAGGAGTAGAACCAGCAGTAGCTGGCTGTGACTTGTTTGCAACGCATTTTTGGCGATCAAATTGCTTGTATCCACCAAGACCTTGACTCTGCTGTTACAGCAGATGAGTCTCATGGGGTGTCCAGAGCACATTCTAGTCCTGTTGTGTTGGATGAGTTTTTTCAGTTGGTAAGGCTCAAGGATATGGACACGGTTCTTGGATCAGTCAGAGTGACCATTTGCATTCTAGACCCTTTCCCCTCTTGGCTGATAAAATCCAGCAGGGAGGGAACAGCTGGCAGGACCAGGGAGATGATCAGTGCCTCTTTACAAGAGGGGGTGGTCCCTCCATGTTTGAAGAAGGCAGAGGTAAAACCACTCCTTAAGAAGCATTCCCTGAATTCCTGAATCCTAACTAACTACCGGCCAGTTGCTAATTAACCTTTCCTGGGCAAGGTTCTGGAGCAAGTAGTCACAGACCAGATCCATTTCAATCAGGTTGTGGCCTGGTTTTAGCACAGAAACTACTTTGGTTGCCCTGTACAGTATGTTGATTTCTGTCATGAGAGAGACAAGGGAAACATGTCCCTGTTAATTCTTCTTGACCTCTCAGTGGCTTTCAATACTATCGGCCATAGTATCCTTCTGGAGCAGCTCTCTGAACTGGCTTTGCGGTGCTTCCAGTCCTACTTGGATGGTCATTCCCAGAGGGTGTTACTTGGGGAATGCTTTTCAGCCCCATGGAACCTTCAATGTGGGGTTCCAGAGGACTCAATCCAATCCCCCATGTTGTTTAACATCTATATAAAACTGCTGGGTGGGGTGATCTGGAGGTTTGGAGTACATTGCCAGCAGTATGCTGATGACACTCAGCTCTATTTCTCCTTCCTATCTGCTGGTGAGGCAGTGGAAGTGCTGGACCAGTGTCTTTGTAATGGACTGGATGAGAGCCAACAAATTGAAGCTCAATGCAGATAAGAGTGAGGCGCTGTTAGTGGGTGGTTCCCTAGAACAGATGCCTGGAAGCTTGCCTGCTCTTGATAGGGTTACACGTCCTCTGAAAGAGCAGGTTTGTAGCTTGGGGTTCTCCTGGATCCTTTGCTGTCGCTCGAGGCTCAGATGGCCTGGAGTGCCTTCCATCAGCTTTGTCTGGTGGCCCAGGTATGCCCCTGGGCCCAGGGATAGTCTAACTACCGTTGTCTATGCTCTGGTAACTTCAAGGTTAGATTTAGATACGCGTTATACGTAGGGCTGCCTCTGAGGACAGTTTGGAAACTTGAGCTAGTGCAGAATTCAGCAGATATGTTGCTCACTGGAGCAAGGTGGTTTGAGCATATTACCCCCCTCCTGGTTTGACTGCACTGGCTACCAAATAGTTTCCGGGCCCGATTCACAGTGCTGGTTTTGACCTATAAAGCCTTTAATGGCTCAGGACCACAATACTTCAAGGGCTGCTTCTTTCCATATGAACCTACCTGGACCCTCAGGCTCTCTTTTGTGGGCCTCCTCCTCAAGTGGTCTGGAGGGTAGCAACACAATAACAGGGCCTTCTCTGCAGTGACTCCCCGTCTGTGGAAAGCTCTCCCCAGGAAAGTTCACCTAGCACCTTCATTATACACCTTTAGGCGCCATGCAAAAATGTTTTTATTCTGTGATCTTTTCTGTGAATCATGCTGACACCTCTGGGTATAGGGCAGTATATAAACTCAATAAATAATAATACTAACATCCATACTTTAATTATTTGTACCCCACGGATCTGACTGGGTTCTCTGAGCCACTTTAGCTGGCTTCAAACAAAAATAAAAGCATAATAAAATATTAAACATTAAATACTTCCCTGTACAAGGCTGCCTTCAGATGTCTTCTAAAACTTGTATAGTTATTTATTTGTTTGACATCTGAAGGATAGTGTTCCACAGGGTGGGCACCACTGCCAAGAAGGCCCTCCGCCTTGTTCCTTGTAACTTCCCTTCTCACAGTGAGGGAACTGCCACAAGGCCCTGGGACCTGGATCTCTGTGTCCTGACTGAATGATTGGGGTGAAGACGCTCTTTTAGCATTTCATCAGTTTTCCTTTTTATTCCATCAGGATATGTTGAAGGGATGCTGGCAGAAGGGGAACAATCAGAAGTGTCATCAAAAGGATCCAAAGAGGAGGAGGAGCAAAGGAAGCTGAGGGTTCAAGATGGAGGCAGAAGGCAAGAGGGGAGACGAAAGCAGAAGCCAGAGGGTGACTCTTGTACATCTCAGGGTGGTGAAAACCAAATTCCCAGAGAGGAGAAAAAGCATGAATGCACAGTGTGTGGAAAGAGATTGGGTAGTCGGTCAGCTCTAACCTCACATCAACAAAGAGTACACACAGGAGAGAAACCGTATAAATGTTTGGAGTGTGGAAAGAGCTTCAGTCAGAGTAGTTCCCTTATCTCCCATCAACGAATTCATACAGGAGAGAAACCATATACATGTTCCGAGTGTGGAAAGAGCTTCACTCAAAGTAGTGGCCTTACCTTCCATCTAAGATCTCATACAGGGGAGAAACCGTATACATGCTCAGAGTGTGGAAAGAGCTTCACTCAAAGTAGTGACCTTACCTTGCATCAACACATTCATACAGGGGAGAAACCATATACATGTTCTGAGTGTGGCAAGAGCTTTAGTCACAGCAGTGCGCTTACTGGACATCAACAAACTCATCGAGGCACCAAACCTTATAAATGTTGGGAATGTGGCAACAGCTTCAGTCGCATCTACTCCCTTTCCTTGCATCAAAGAATTCATATACGGGAGAAACGATATACGTGTTTGGAGTGTGGAAAGAGCTTCAGTCAGAATGGCACCCTTACCTTGCATCAAAGAGTGCACACAGGAGAGAAACCGTATAAATGTTTGGAGTGTGGGAAGAGTTTCAGTCGTGGTAGCTCCCTTACATTGCATCAAAGAACTCATACAGGAGAGAAACCGTATACATGTTCAGAGTGTGGAAAAAGCTTCATTTGCAGTAGGTCCCTTATGTTGCATCAAAGAACTCATACAGGGGACAGACCATATAAATGTTCCGAGTGTGGAAAGAGCTTCAGGAACAGGAGTCACCTAACTAGACACCAAAGAAGTCATACAGGAGAGAAACCATATACATGTTCAGAGTGTGGAAAGAGCTTCAGTCAGAGTAGCGGCCTTAATAGACACCAAAGAAATCATACAGGAAGGAAATCTTAGAAATGTTTGGCGTATGGAAAGAACTTCAGTGACAGGGGCTCCCTTTCTAAACAGTAAAAACTCATACAAGGCAAATATCTTAGAAAGGGCTGAAGTGTGGGAAGATCTTTATTCATATCAAATAACTCCTACAGAGAGTAAAACAATGATTGTGTTCTGGTCCCCCCATGTTTGTCATTCACTAAAATGCTTGCACTTCCCGTGACAAGGCAGAAGCCATTCTTGGGAATTCCTGGGCAGAGAGCTGCTGTACCCTAGACTGCAAAAAGAAACCAACCATATCCAGCACGCAATGCTAAAAAATCAGATTCTGGTTTAAATGCAGTTTTTTAGATATATTTTTACAGAAGAGCATCCAGAATTGTTAAAAGTGCCTGTGTTAGGAAAACAATTGCCCTAGATACCCTAGTTCAAGCTTTCCCAAACTTGGCCCTCTAGCTGTTTTTTGGACTACGATTTCCATCATCCCTTAATACTGCTAGCTGGGGTGATGGGAGTTGTAGTCCAGAAAGAACCGGAGACCCAAGTGTGGGAATCCTCCTCTAGTGAAAGGTGAGGATACGGACGTGAACTGCGCTCATTCAATTGTAGATGGCATCTTTCATAGCTCCGATAAGAGAGGAGTTCAGGGAGCAAACGGCCTCTTCCTCTGATGACGTCTCTCCCCCTGCCTTGCTGAGCTTGTGTGTTTCTGCTTCCTTGCAGCCATGGGATCTGCTGCTGTTCAGGCTCATGCCACTGTCTGTGTTGCCTTGTCAGAAGCTGCCCACTGGTGTCCCCCAGCCCTACTCCCCACTATGTGTGTCATTGACTATAAGGCTTGCACAAGCCATTGCTCGCCACTGGAGGAGAGCCTGCCCAGACCCCAATGTGTCTGGTTGCTGCTCTGCCACTTCTTGTGCCAAAGGTTGCCCATTCTCCACCAGAGAAGAAGGCAAGCAAATCCTTAAGTCTGGGTTTGCTCTTGAAGACCACAGGAAAGCCACGCTGCCGCCGCACAATTTCTGTTCTCATCCTGAAGCAAAGTTCTTAGCCTCAGGTACTATTTCTGGCTCTGTAACCTGAAGCGTCTGTAACCCAAGGTACCACTGTATAACCCTTCCCCCAATGTCAGTTGCTTCTTGTGTCTCTCTCTGTTCCCCCCCTCTTCTATCATGTCCCTCACAACAGCAGTCGATTGCGTTTCTTCCTTGATTTCATGCTCCTTTTCTCTTTGGGGGCCTTACCAAATAATTGTGTCTCTTCCCGGTGAATGTTGGGAGAGTGAGAACGAAGGAGAGTCACATGGAGGTGCCTTGGAACTAACCAGTTGCAAAGAGAGGGGAGGCCAAATCACACGTACGGAAGGAAATGAGATGAGCAAGAATAAATCCCTTGCCTCTGAAGACGGTGACATTTTGGAAATCCAAGAAAACATGGATGGAGGAAAGGAGAGGACTCTGTGCTTAGTGTATGGGGAAAGCTTTGGTTCGAAATCGAGCCTCACTGCTCATTGGAGAATCCACACAGGAGAGAAATCCTTTAAATATTCAGACGGTAATAGGAGCTTCAGTGACAGATCAACCCTCAAAAGGCACCTGAGAATCCACACAGGGGAGAAACTGTTTAAATGTCTGGATTGCTTCGGTTGAAGCACCACCCTCACTTCCCATTGCAGGATCCACACCGGGGAGAATCCGTATAAATGCCTGGAGTGTGGGAAGAGCTTCAGCACTTATGAATACCTTACTCTTCATCAGAGAATCCACACAGGAGAGAAGCCCTATCAATGCCCTGAGTGCAAGAAGAGGTTTAGTAGGAGACACAACCTTTCATCACATCAAAAGATTCACACGGGCGAGAAGCCATACAAATGCCCAGAAAGAGCTTTAGCGACAGCACAAACCTCCATTCACACCGGAGAATTCACCCTAACCCAACCTCAATTCACAAGAGAATCCACACGAAAGAGAATTACTTCAAACGCTCAGCGTGCGGAAAGAGCTTCAGTAATAGCTAGTACCTCAGTTCCCACCCAAAAATCCACACAGAGAAGTCGTTTAAATGCATAGAGTGCAGAAAGAGCTTCTGTTTTAGCACTAGCCTTATTTCACATCAAACTGTCCACACAGGGGAGAAACCCTTTAAATGCCTCGAGTGTGGAAAGAGCTTTAGTACTAGTAAGTACCTTGCGTCTCATCAACAGAGTCACAGAAGAGAGAACCCATAGAAATGGAGACTGCAAGGAGAGTTGAAGCCAATGCTAGTCAGCCAGTGGACCTAACTAACGTAGATTCATTACTTGCAGTGGGTCTACTCTGAGGCCAAGCCTTATGAGGAACGGTCGAAGGAGCTGGGTATGTTTAGCCTAGAAAAGAGGAAATTGAGAGGAGATACAATAGCCATCTTCAAAGATCTGAAGGGCTGTGTGGCGTTTGCCCTCCTCTGTGTGTGACATCATACTGGGTTCATAGGAAAAGGGTTAACTAATTGTAAAATGACTAACCAATAGGAACCAAGGGGGCAGAGTTAACTGTGTATAAGGTTTAAGCACAGAGGGTTTTTTAGGGGTTAGAGTTAGAGTTGTTGAGAAGACAGTCTGGACTTAGAAGAGACAGAGAAGATAAGTCTGTGGGTTGGGCTAGTCTGGTGTGAGAGAATGAGAGAATTCATTAAGAGGAGTCAGTCAAACAGTTGAGATAATCAGAAGGTATTAGGAAGGTATAGGCCGGTAAGGAAACTAAAGTTAAGATACTGACAGGAATATTATCTGAGAAACCATAAACTTGTTAATGTTTGTAAAATAAACTTTCTTTTTTATTTTTGTTGTTCACGTTTTAACAACTGTCTGGACTCAGTGTTTTACCAGAGAGTAACTGGTTGGTGGCAGCGGGGAAGCGAGCACAGTGGTGGCACAGGGATCAATAGTTAAACGTCTGAGGACCCTGTGTGATCGCCACAGGCTGTTACATAGAATAGGGAGCAAGCTTGTTTTGTCCTGCTCTGGAGGGTAGGACTTGAACCCACGGCTTCAACCTCCAATAAAGGAGATTCTGACTAAACATCAGGAAGAACTTTCTGACTATTGGACAGTGGAAAAGTCTCCCTCAGGAGGTTGTGGACTCTGCTTCCTTGGAGGTTTTTAAGCAGAGGTTGGGTGGCCATCTGTGATGGATGCTCTAGTTGAGATCCCTGCATTGCAGGGGGTTGGACTAGATGGCCCTTGGGATCCCTTCCAACTCTACGATTCACACCATTCATTTGACGCATTATGGTGCCACTTTAAACAATTATGGCTTCCCTCACAGAATTATGGGAGCTGGCATGTTAAAACACTTGTGAGAATTGTAGCTCTGTGAGGGGAACAGGGGGTCTCCTAAGAACTCTCAGCACCCTTAATAAATGGCACCTCCCAGAATTCTTTGGGGGAAGCCTTGCCTGTATAAAGCCGCATCATAGTAAATCGGAGATATGGTGTGAATGTAGCCTTGGTTGGATACAAACCAGAGAGCTTCTATCAAAGTTGGGACCTTTCTTCACATCAGAGAACTCACATGGGTGATGCCCAATTTTGTTAGTGTACAATGAACTTCATAACTACTCATGAACAAATGAAGAGCTTCATTCCAAAAGGGACTTAATTTTGACCCCCCAAAAATCCAGTTTTGGCCTGTTGGTGTTGCCGTAAGTCCCACCAATACGGGGCGGGGGTGGTGGAATCTTGTATAAATTTTGGGCCTAAGTTACTGTGTTAGCAAGCCTTGAAAATCGTGTTTGCACTCAGAAAGGACCTAGTCAGAAATAAATTTGTGGTCGCAATTGACTTAAGCCCCTTTTGGAATTAAGCTCTTCAAATTCAGGTGTGGGATAAACTTTCTAAATGCTATTCTTGTGGAAAGATCAGAGCTCTGAATTCTTGTGGAAAGATCAGAGCTCTGATCCTTTCTCCTGCAGAGTGAAAAAAAGCTATGCTTTTCTATCTCAACTTTTTGTAATTTTATAGAGAGAGTTCTTAAAATCTCTGGCATTTTGGAGATGTTTTATTGCTCCTGTCTGTGTGTAAAGTCGTGCTTTTTGCTGTTTTGTGGTTATTCTTGTTTGGAAAGCCATCCTGGAAAGTTTAAAAATGTCCAAAACAAAATAAAACCTTTCTTCTCACTTGATTTTTTTAAGGATACCCACTGACTTTTCCTTTAATTTAGAAATTAATAATAATAAATTTTATTTATATCCCGCCCTCCCCAGCCAAAGCCGGGCTCAGGGCGGCTAACAACAATAAATTAGTACAACATTCTAAAATCATTTCATTATAAAATTAATTCAAATCAAATTGATGGCAACCATTAGGCTAAAGTTCTGTGAAGATTGCCAAAGGAGTGAGTTAGGCTGTGCCCTGACCAAAGGCCTGGTGGAACAGCTCTGTCTTGCAGGCCCTGCGGAAAGATGTCAAGCAGGGCCCTAGTCTCTTGTGACAGAGTGTTCCACCAGATTGGAGCCACAGCCGAAAAAGCCCTGGCTCTAGTTGAGGCCAGCCTAACCTCTCTGTGGCCTGGGACCTTCAGGATGTTTTTGTTTGAAGACCCTAAGTTCCTCTGGGACATACCAGGAAAGGCGGTCCCGTAGGTATGAGGGTCCTAGGCCGTATAGGGCTTTAAAGGTTAAAACCAGACCTTAAACCTGATCCTGTACCCCACGGGGAGCCAGTGCAGCTGGTATAGCACCGGGTGAATGTGATCTCGCAGCGAGGACCCCGTAAGGAGTCTCGCCGCGGCATTCTGCACCCGCTGGAGTTTCTAGGTCAGTCTCAAGGGCAGCCCCACGTAGAGCGAGTTACAAGAGTTATTAAGAAACTGCTTAATCATAATTTTTAAAAAGCTTAAGGGCTGAATGCAATGTTAGTTCTGCTCTTTGAATTTATTTTTACAAATTTGTAATATGCACTTTCATTAAAAAAATATAATAATGTGGAGTACACTATGTAAGGATAAACCCAGCAAAATATACGTAAATCATAATTAGAAACATCAATAAATATTGAATGCCAATTGGTTAAGCTTAGGTCCATTAATTGCAGTGGGTTCATTCTGAGTGTATCTTGGTTGGATACAGCCTTGAGGTAAAGCAAAATGGTGGTCAGCTTCCTCATCTCAGGAGTTGGATGCTATCGCTCATTCCACAGACAGTTGAGGAAGCCAATGGAATTGAAACAGACACGAAAGCTCATACCAAGAATTGGAGGAGAGGTGGAAAGAAGAGCTAATTTGTCTGTGGCGGGAGGTGCAATCTGGATGGTTCCGCCAGGGGTGCAGTATCACCTAGCTACGGCTCTGTAGTCTACTCAAAGTTAGATACCATCTGTCAATCATCGGCATTGTAGTCCAACAGCATCTCGGACTAGGAGGTGCAGATTCTCTATTCCTCCTTTCAAAACATCACCACGGTCCCTGTGGGTAGTGCCAAAACAACACCAGGAATCCAGCTCTGTTAGCTCATACGATCCTGTCTTATAGAGCAGGTTGTGACTACGCTTGGTGTCTCTGTGTTCTTTTCTGGGAGCAAAAGCTTGTAATTCTGTTTCTCTGTGGCAGGGGTAGGTAACCTCAGGCCTGGGACCCAAATACGGCCCCCTGGGCTTTATCTGGCTCTTGGAACTGTATCCTGGCCACACACCCCACACTAACCCTTCTTCGCACCTCGAGGCGCTGATTGGGTTGGAGGCTAGAGCATCTTCTCTTGTTTTTTTAAAAAAATTATTTGGTTTTTCAAATTAAATTTTTATAGATATATCAAACATAAATCATAAAACCAAGATTCCAAGGAATCCCCTGGACTTCCATCCTCCCCTTTGTGGGTCCTGTTATTAATCATTTCCTCCCGCATCTTTTATGATGATCCAAATTTTTTACATCTCCATTGTGTCCAGAGTTCACCCTTAAACTACAAATGATATTCCAATCCTACTAATGATTTTAACTCTTTACGATGATCTAATTTAAGATGGGTTATAAATTTTCCACATTCCTTAATAAAATTTTGGCCTTCCTGATTTCTGACTCTTCAAGTCATTTTAGCCATTTCAGCATAATCCATTACAGTGGTACCTCAGGTTAAGTACTTAATTTGTTCCGGAGGTCTGTTCTTAACCTGAAACTGTTCTTAACCTGAAGCACCACTTTAGCTAATGGGGCCTCCTGCTGCCGCCGCGCCGCCAGAGCACGATTTCTGTTCTCATCCTGAAGCAAAGTTCTTAACCTGAAGCACTATTTCTGGGTTAGCAGAGTCTTTAACCTGAAGCGTATGTAACCCGATGCATCACTGTAACTTCATCTGCCATTCTTCACTGGTAGGAACTTTATCTTTCCATCTCCAGGCCAATAACATCTGCGCAGTCGTGGTCGCACACATCAGCGTTTCTCAACCTGTGGGTCCCCAGATGTTGAACTACAACTCCCATCACCCCTAGCTAGCAAGGCTCAGGGATGATGGGAGTTGTAGTCCAACAACATCTGGGGACCCACAGGTTGAGAACCGCTGGCATACATAGTCCTTTCTGCTCCCTTGGGATTTCAGCTCCTAGAATTCCTAAAAGGAAAGCTTCAGGGTGGTTGTTTTTTAGCAAAGGTTATTTTAAACATTTCTTTCAACTCGTTATATATCATTTTCCAAAATCCTTTTACTACCTTACAATTCCACCACATATTATCCAAGTAGGGCTAGGAGAGAGTTCTTGCCTGAAACACCGGGGAGCGTTTTGGGAATTACCTTTTGGGAATTATAGGAACAGAACTACTCAAACTGTACAGAAATTTATTTATGTATGCGACTGCAGCGGCAAGAATGTTACATGCACAAAAATGGAAAGAATTAAGTCCAAAAACGTATGGAATATGCAGAAATGGCGAAACTTGCTGGAAAAAGAAGAAATCAGGATAACAAACTTTTTATAAAAGAATGGAGATGGTTCATTTGAATATTTACAAATCAATTGTAAACAAGTAAAAACATTGGCAGGATTATTGTAATAACCTGCAGTTTTATAAGAGTCTATATTTAAAGTAGATGAATAAGTGAGTAAATTAAGTGGGAATATGCAGGAAATGTTAAAAATAAATTTAAGGAACCGCAGAAAGAGGGGGAAGGAAGTCGAGCTTTGAAATGTTAACATGATTATAAAATTATTGAAATGCATAAACCTGAAAATCATAAAAAATAATAATGAAATGCTGGAGAGAGAGTGGTCAGTACTGAGCTAGAAGGACCAGTGCTTTCAGTATGTGTGGATCCAGAATTGGCCTCCACAGACACTTACGGACTCATTGTTAAAACCTGTTTATGGAAGACAATCCTACTCAGCTACAAACGATTGCCGAAGAAGAAGAGGGTTTGTGTGTGTGGAGACTGGGCTGCTGTACAATGGTAGGGTTGCCACCTGTAGTACAGGATTGTCCCATGTTTAAGTGTAAAATGTCCTCTGTTTGTCCTGTTTTGTCCTGTGTTTCAGGTCCTCTCTCTCTCTCTCTCTCTGCTAAATTAGGGGTCCTCTCCAAATGCATTCATTTGAATGAGTTCGTGAAAGGTCATGTATTTTAAGCTCTGGGTAGTCAAGCACGGGACGTGGGTGGCGCTGTAGGTTAAACCACAGAGCCTAGGACTTGCCGATCAAAAGGTCGGCGGTTCGAATCTCCACGACGGGGTGAGCTCCCGTTGCTCGGTCCCTGCTCCTGCCAACCTAGCAGTTTGAAAGCACGTCAAAGTGCAAGTAGATAAATAGGTACCGCTCCGGCGGGAAGGTAAATGGTGTTTCTGTGCGCTGCTCTGGTTCGCCAGAAGCAGCTTATTCATGCTGGCCACATGACCCGGAAGCTGTCTGCAGACAAACGCTGGCTCCCTTGGCCAATAAAGCGAGATGAGTGCCGCAACCCTAGAGTTGGCCACGACTGGACCTAATGGTCAGGGGTCCCTTTACCTTTACCTTAGTCAAGCAGGCACAGATTTACCAATTCTTGAGGGTATGTGTTTGTGTAATACAAATTCTAGAATGGCCGTCCTGTTAGGCTGCAACAGATTGTAAAGGATTGCTCTGAAGTCGCTTCAGCACCAGCTGAACAGGCAGCCCTGTTTAGGGAAGCTTTTAATGTTTAATAGGTTATTGTATTTTAATATTCTGTTGAAAGCCGCTCCAGAATGGCTGGGGAAACCCAGCCAGGCGGGTGGGGTATAAATAATAAATTTATTATTATTATTATTATTATTATTATTATTATTGGGAAATAATCACCCCACCCTTTACCAGAACAAAGGTGGCAACCCTATAATGGTGAAATTTGCATTGTTTGCTCTGGCACTGCCTACCTCGGGCATGTGGCCCTCACAAGGTCATCCGGAAGAGAATGTGGCCCTTGAGATGGAAAAGGTTCCTCAGTCCTGAATTAAAGGTTCTGCACCCTTCTCAAGTCCTGGAGGGCTTCCCAGGGGAGCATCTGGTCAGAAACAGTGAGAAGGTAAACAGTAAAGGACCCCTGGACGGTTAAGCCGAGTCAAAGATGACTATGGGGTTGCGGCGCTCATCTCACTTTCAAGCCGAGGGAGCCGGCGTTTGTCCGCAGACAGCTTTCCAGGTCACGTGGCCAGTAGGACTAAACCGCTTCTGGCGCAACGGGGCACCCTGATGGAAGCTAGAGCGCACAGAAATGCCGTTTACCTTCCCGCCACAGCGGTACCTATTTATCTACTTGCACTGGTGTGCTTTCGAACGGCTATGTTGGCAGGAGCTGGGACAGAGCAATAGGAGCTCACCCCGTCATGGGGATTCGAACCGCTGACCTTTTGATCGTCAAGCCCTAGGCTCTGTGGTTTAGACCACAGGGCCACCCACAGGATGCTGGACTAGATGGGTCCCTGGTCTGATCCAGAAGGCTCATCTCACGTTATTTGAAACCCTTTGAAATAGGGCCCTGAAAATGCCAACAGGAACAAGGCCGTGAAGCCTTCACAAAGCAGGTGCCTTGGAGTTATTCTGGAATATAATTCTCATAAGTCTAAAACGCCTTCAGGGCACCCACTTGGTGAAGGCATTCAGGGTCCATCCCAGGATCACCTGCTCTTTCTGGAAGCAAACTGATGGCATTTTCATCCCGACTGGCTTTTGCAGATGAATGAACGAGTCTCTGACACAGGAGTGTCTATTTTGTATTTGTCTTTTGTTTAAATATGCCTGTTGGGTTTTTTGGTGGTGTTTTAAAACCATTTTTATTACACATCACCTTGAAACAGGTGCATGCAATAATAAATAAAGGAAAGAATACATTTCTGGTTTTATTTCACAAAATGTATTTACCGCTGGACTCTTTATTTGAAAAACCCTCGCAACGGTTTACGAAACAATGAAATGAGTAAAACACGGTTAAAAGCAACCATTTTAATCCTAAATACTGTAATAAAAAAAAATTAAAACCAAGGATTAAACATTTTGAAATATATTACCACAATGTGCAGAACAAAATACAGAGAGACAAAATAATCCCAAGAGCAAAGGACAGTTATATTATCAGATTACACACTATCTTAATATTGTATTGTTCTCCGGCTAGAGTGGCCACAAAAATATTTAAACAAAAGCAAGAAATCACCACAATCAGGATGGTAGCTATTCCTTATCCTGAGATATCACAGAATCATAGAATTGTTAAGGTACCCCCAAGGGTCATCTAGTCTGACCCCTTGCAAGGCAGGAATCGCAGCTCAATAATTCCCCCTTCTCCACTTCACATCATGGTCACATGATCATGCACAAAATCCCAGCCATCAACTTTTTACCATCAACAGAAGGATTTGAACTCCCAACAGCCCCCGCCAGCTGTGATATTGCTTCTCCACTGTTTTGGGATGTTTCGTGAAGTTTGCCTTCTGAGCAAAGTTCTTTCTACACCCTAGGCGTTTCACATTTCCACGCTTCTCTGAATTCTTTAGTGGCAAGTTATATCATCTCTTCTGCATGAAGCTGCAGGTGGGAAGTGAGGGTTTTGCTATGACTAAAGCCCTTGCCACATTCTAAGCATGTTTATAGTTTCTTTCCCAGAGTCGATAGTTTGATGTGAGCCGGTGCTCTCACAGGAACTCATTCCACCTTGCGTGGACTTTAGCAGTTTCTCTCCTGTGTGAATTCTTTGATGTAAAGTATAGGAGTTAAGCCAACTGAAGCTCTTTCCGCACTCCAGACAATTGTAGGCTTCTTTCTTTGTGTGAGTCCTTTGGTGGGAAGAGAGGTTGCTGCTCTTCCTGAAGCTCTTTCCGCACTCCAGACACATGTACGGTTTCTCTTCCATGTGAGTCCTCTGGTGGGAGGCAAGATTGCCAATCTTCCTGAAACTCTTTCCGCACTCCAAACACGTGTACGGTTTCTCCTCCGTGTGGGTTCTTTGGTGAGAAGTAAGGTCTGAACTCTGGCGAAAGCTCTTCCCACACTCCAAACATCCAAAAGGTTTCGCACCAGTGTGCAGCTGCTGGTGGTAAGAGAGACTTTTGCCGTTGATAAACCTCTTCCCACACTCAGAGCATTTATATGGCTTCTCTCCAGTGTGCGTTCTTTGATGTTTACTGAGGTACTTGGTCAAAACAAAGCTCTTCCCACATTCCAAGCATCTGTACGGCTTTTCCCCCAAGTGGATTTTCTGATGGGAGAGGAGGGCATCCCTCCTGTTAAAGCTCTTTCCGCACTCCGAGCATTTAAAAGGCTTCTCCCCTGTGTGAAGCCGCTTGTGTAAAGCAAGGGTTTTCTTAGTACTGAATCTCTTTTCACATTCGGAGCACGTAAACGGCTTCTCCCCAGCGTGGGTTCTTTGATGAGAAGTAAGGCAAGACCTCTGGATGAAGCTCTTTCCACACTCCAGGCATTTGAACGGTTTCTCGCCCGTGTGGATTCTCTGATGAGAAGTGAGGCTAGTGCTCCTAGTGAAGCTGTTTCCACACTGCAGGCATTTATAGGGTTTGTCTCCCGAGTGGATTCTCTGATGCAAATTCAGGTTGGCGCTTCTGCTGAAGGTTTTCCCGCACTCGGAGCATTTAAATGGTTTCTCTCCCGTGTGTATTCTTTGATGGGAAGTGAGGCTTGAGCGGTTGCCAAACTTCTTCCCACACTCGAAGCACGAATACGGCTTTTCTCCTGTGTGAATTCTCCGGTGAGAATTCAGTCCCGAGGCCAAACTGAAGCTCTTTCCACACTCTGGGCATTTAAAGGGTTTCTCCCCTGTGTGGATTCTTTTATGCGAAGTGAGGCTGCTTCTTCTACTAAAGCTGCACCCACACTCGAAGCACGTATACGGCTTCACTCCTGTGTGAAGCTGTTCGTGATAAATGAGGCTTTGGCTGTGGAGAAACGTCTTTCCACACTCCAAGCATTCGTATGGTTTCTCCCCTGTGTGGATTCTCTGGTGCGACGCAAGGGCATCGCTCCTGCTAAAGCCCCTTCTGCACTCCAGGCACTTAAAGGGTTTTTCTCCCGTGTGGATTCTCTGATGGATAGTAAGGTATTCGTAAGAACCAAAGCTCTTTCCACACTCCAAGCATTTGTGCGGTTTCTCCCCGGTGTGGATCCTGCGATGGGAAGTAAGGCTCGTGGGCCAACGGAAGCACCGTCCGCAATCCAAACATTTAAATGGTTTCTCCCCTGTGTGGATTCTCTGATGTTTCTTCAGGGCTGATTTACTATAGAAGCTCTTCTCACAGTCTGCACATTTAAATGGTTCTTCCTCGGTGTGGATTTTCCAATGAGCACCGAGGCTTGACTTGCAACCAAAGTCCTGGCTCCTTTCCTCTCCTTTGCCTGCGTCTTCTTGGATCGGGACTGCAGAGCTGTCAACACTTTGAGACTTGCCCTCCTCCGGTTTTGATTCCATTTCTGCTGTCTGCTCTTCCCCTTTGTTGCAGCTGCCTCTTTCCAGCAACAACCTGCGGGCTTCTTGCGCTCTCACGCTCCTGCCCGTCAGCTCCTGGAAGGAAGAGAGAGAAAAACAACTGGTGAGGACCCAAGGGAAAACGGGAACCCGAAATCCATGAAGGCACACAGTTAGCTGTTACGGAGCAGCTTTTCACAACATACTTAAAGGCAGAGGTCAGCAAACTTTTTCAGCAGGGGGCCGGTCCACTGTCCCTCAGACCTTGTGGGGGGCCGGACTATATTTTGAAAAAAATATATGAACGAATTCCTATGCCCCACAAGTAACCCAGAGATGCATTTTAAATAAAAGGCACATTCTACTCATGTAAAAACACCAGGCAGATCCCACAAATAACCCAGAGATGCATTTTAAATAAAAGGCACATTCTACTCATGCAAAAACACGCTGATTCCTGGACTGTCCGTGGGCCGCATCTAGAAGGCGATTGGGCCTGATCTGGCCCCCAGGCCTTAGTTTGCCTACCTACACTTAAAGGTAATCCAACAGGCATTTAAAGCACATGACTTCCCACAAAGAATCATGGGAATTGTAGTTCCCCCCTCACACAGCTACTATTTGCAGTAGTATAAACAACTGGGCAACACTGGCCTGCGAGCGCTCCAATTGGAGAACAGCCTTTACCGAAGGTGTCATGGGCTTTGAAGACGCTCAGACTCAGGACGAAAGAGAGAAACATGCTAAGAGGAAGGCAGGCTTGGCAAACCCTCACTGTGATCAACTCCTGCCCAGAAACAAAAGTCCCCACTGTGGAAGGACGTGTGGATCCAGAATTGGCCTCCACAGTCACTTATGGACTCACTGTTAAGACCGTGTTCTTGGAAGACAACCTTACTCAGCTACAAGAGATCGCCAAAGGAGAAGAAGAAGAGTAGCCCCTTTTAAAATGTTTATATTTTATTGAAAGCTTTCAGTGAGAAAAAAAAAGTGGGAGCAAAGAAAAAGGGGGGGGGGGACAAATAGAAAAAAATAAATGAATGAAATTGTAATGCAACGCGGTACAGTATATTGGAAATATAATACCATGACCCCCTTTTGATCAATGGAGGGAAGACATGACAATGCTGGCAGCATAGAAACAGGTGGCCTCTAGAGGCAGGTTGTGTACGTATAAGTGTAATGATAATTGGAATGCATTTATAAAAATTACGACGACTTGCTAATAATTTTACACTTGCTGAGATAACTGCATTATTATTTGCAGTAGCTTTAACAAACTACTGTTCCCAGGATTAATCAGAGCATTGTAGAGTTGGAAGGGACCCCAGGGTCATCTAGTCCAACCCCCCGCAATGCAGGAATCCCAGCTAAAGCATCCAGGACAGATGGCCATCCAACCTCTGCTTTGCGGGAATCCTCATTTGCCTGGGATATGCTTTAAATGAGTCCCATCAACTAGAACTGGTGCTATGCACTAAGTGCAAGACTGAGACCATGGAGGCCAGGACTGTTCTTCTGACTACGAAGCCCATTGGGTGACCTTAAAACAGGCACCCCCAAACTTGGCCCTCCAGATGTTTTGGAACTACAATTCCCATCATCCCTGACCACTGGTCCTGTTAGCTAGGGATGATGGGAGTTGTAGTCCCAAAACAACTGGAGGGCCACGTTTGGGGGTGCCTGCCTTAGAATATTCAGAATCTGTTTAGCCAATCAGGGATGGGAAAGCAGTGGCTGTCAAAATGTTTAATAAAACTTATTGCCAAGGTGGGGGGGGGATTTGAACCCTGGTCTCCCAGGTCCTAGCCCAATGCTCAGAAGGAAGGAAGCAGCCTCTGACATCACCACCTACCGTGATTTAGAAAAAGATTCTGGGAAGCCAGAAGGCAGCTGACTTAGTGAGGAAAACTCGGTGTGTGTGTGTGTGTGTGTGTGATGCCATGGGGTAAGAGTACAGAAATGAAAGCTCCAATAATTTGTTAGAACTTGCAAACTGTTTGCTTGTTTTTTGTTTTAACAACAACAACAATAACAATTTATTTACACCCCACCCATCTGGCTGCTGAGTTTCCCCAGCCACTCTGGGCGGCTCACAATTGAGTGTTATAAACAATACAGCATTTAAATATTAAAAACTTCCCTAAACAGGGCTGCCTTCAGATGTCTTTTAAAAATAGGATAGCTGCTTATTTCCTTGACATCTGATGGGAGGGCGTTCCACAGGGAGGGCACCACTACTAAGAAAGCCAAGCACAATAAAAAGGGCGCCTTACCCAGAGGAGCCACGATCCAGCAATTTTCCTCCATGACTTCCCTGTGAAGAGACCTTTGGTCCTGATCCAGCAGGGTCCACCCCTCCTCTGTGAAATGCACAGCCACCTCCTGGAAGGTCACCAGATCCTGGGGGAGAAGAGAACATCTCCCTGTCACGCCTTATTATTATTGATTTATTTTTCTTAGCACATTCAACATGGCAAAGAAAAAAGAGGGAAGAAATAGTAAGTACATTAAAGAAGAAAGAAAGACATCGAAAACAATAACAGCAATCATCAATTCACACTGGGAACCTAGAGATCTTCTGTAAGGTAAAGGTAGAGGGACCCCTGACCATTAGGTCCAGTCGTGACCGACTCTGGGGTTGCGGCGCTCATCTTGCTTTATTGGCCGAGGGAGCCAGCTTCCCAGGTACAGCTTCCGGGTCATGTGGACAGCATGAAGCAGCGCACGGAAACGCCGTTTACCTTCCCACCGGAGCGGTACCTATTTATCTACTTGTACTTTGACGTGCTTTCGAACTGCTAGGTGGGCAGGAGCTGGGACCGAGAAACGGGAGCTCGCCCCATCGCAGGGATTCGAACTGCCGACCTTCTGATCGGCAAGCCCTAGGCTCTGTGGTTTAACCCACAGCGCCACCCACATCTCGCGATCTTCTGTATAGATCTTAAATAAAATCTGTAAGTTAATGCAAGTCTTACAGATGTGTAAACAGGTATCCACACAAAATTTACGCCTATATAAAATGTGTTAGTATGTAGCCAAAGCAGTGAGGTGCTCAGACCACTGCTTAATAGACAGTGGGTATTTATTCTTCCAGGATTGTAGGGGGTTGGACTAGATGACCTTGGGGTCCCTTCCAAGTCTACAGTTCTGATTCTATGCATCTCCAGCACTAATTCGGTCTTATACATCTAAGCAAGAGGTGGACTTTCATATGTGGTGGACTTGTAAAAGTATATTGGGAAATGATCCATAATGAATTGAATTTTTTTTTAAAGTACCGTATTTTTCGCTCCATAACACGCACTGTTTTCCTCCTAAAAAGTAAGGGGAAATGTCTGTGCGTGTTATGGAGCGAATGCCTATGGATGGCGGGGGATCTGCTGCAGTCATGAGCAGAGGATCCATGGTTTCCCTTCCTTCCCTCCTCCGTGGCTCGCTTTGAAACAGCAAAGCGGGAGAAGAGCCGCTGAGGGACAGAGAGCCTGCTTGCTTTAAAGGAGCAAAGCGGGAGAGGAGAGGCTCCTTTAAAGCAAGCAGGCTCTCTGTCCCTCTCTCCTCCCCACTCAGCTCGCTAAATAGCAGCAAAGTTTTTCAGCGAGCTGGGAGGAGGGAGAGAAGCAGAGCCTGCTTGCTTTAAAGGAGCAAAGCAGGAGAGGAAAGGAGCCTTCTCCTCTTATATGCATTATTAGCCGCATCCTTCTCCACACACCCCACGCATGTTCCTTCTCCCCTTAAACCCCTCGCCTGCATTATTAGCAGCATCCTTCTCCACACACCCCACGCGTGCTCCTTGTCCCTTGAGTGCTTTTCCTTCCCTCCCCACTTAAAACGTGGTTACAAGGCATGGATCCACATGGATCCTCAGGATTTTTGCATTGGGCTACCCCAAACTCACCGTCAGATCACATGTCTGTGGCCACAGCATGAACCACAAAAATCATACATCCACTGTTTCGTTTAGAATATTTTTTTTCTTGTTTTCCTCCTCTAAAAACTATGTGCGTGTTATGGTCGGGTGCGTGTTATAGAGCGAAAAATACGGTACTTTCCCCCCAAAAACCATAGTCCTTTCTGTTGGAGATAATTCAGACTGAAACTCCCAGGTGTCAAAAAAGGTTATTTACGTACGCTAGTACTGCAACCCGTGTTTCGTTAGTCCGGTCCCAACCAAAGAAGATTGGAAACTTAAGTTGACTGAATATGCACAACTTGCAGACTTAACATATAGAATAAGAGAACAAGAAGAACATACGTTTAAAGGAGATTGGAAAACGTTTATTGAATATGTGGGAAATAATTGCGTACAGCTGAAAACGTGGGCAGCATTAAGACAAATTCAACAGTGTAAATAAATTTTGATGGATGCAATAACGGAATAATGAATGGTTTAGTTTTTGTAAAATATGCTGGGATTTATGATGTGCAGGATGAACCATGGAAAGAGAAGAAGGTCACCGATATCTTAAGGATGAAAAATGAGTATTTTAAATTGTAAAACAGAAAACTTAATAAATATTCTATTTTTTAAAAAAACAATTCTGATTCCTTAAATCCCATAGCCCCTTTTGTTGCCCAGCTATGAATACTACAGGAATATACTTTAGAAATATATGTCTGCGAATATCAAGGATTTTTCCAAAACTGATGGGAGTAGCAACTTCAAACCAAAAGGAATCCAAAGAGGTATTTTCAACATTACCTCCCACATCTAACTGCATTAGGAAGTGCATCCATTCACAACACCTGTTTAATTCTTCCCAAAGAATTACGGGAGTTGTAGTTTGTGCTTATGCTTTTGAATTCTGGTGCTGGAGGAGACTCTTGAGAGTCCCATGGACTGCAAGAAGATCAAACCTATCCATTCTTTTTTTTTTTTTTTTTAAATATTTTTTATTGCATTTTTCCAGATAGAAATACAAGGTCAGATATACAAAGAAATAACAGAAAAGAAAAAGAAAAAGAAGAAAATCATCTTTTCAAAGCATTTTTCCATAACCAACCGGACTTCCCCGTCCCCTCACCTTGCGTTCTTTACAATAAAATTTTTCAGCAAATTATAACCTTATTTCGTGCATTCTTTTGTTCTTTCAAATACTTGTGATTTGCGTTTAAAATGCTTATTGTCAATTTACACTAATAATATATATAATGTTCTTTTAAACGTTAGTCCTTTCATTAATTTAGCTTAGTTTCCCATACCTTAATCTTATTGCTGGAGCTGAATTTCCTAATCATGCGAATTCTTAACATTCATATAACTTATAAAATTTTTGTAAATAATCTTTAAATTTTTTCCAATCCTCCTCCATTGCTTCTTCCTCCAAATCTCGGATCCTGGCAGTCATCTCGGCCAATTCCATGTAGCCCATCAATTGCGTCTGCCACTCTTCCAGTGTGGGTAAATCTTGAGTCTTCCAGTATTTTGCGATAAGAATTCTTGCTGCTGTAGTTGCATACATAAAAAGGTTCTATCCTTCTTTAACACCTTCTGACCGACAATGCCCAGTAGGAAGGCCTCTGGTTTCTTGGGAAAAGTGTACTTAAACACTTTTTTAACTCATTATAGATCATTTCCCAGAAGGCCTTCACTTTTGGGCAAGTCCACCAGAGGTGAAAGAATGTCCCTTCAGCCTCCTTACATTTCCAACATTTATTATCAGACAAATGATATATCTTAGCAAGCTTGACTGGGGTCATGTACCACCTGTATATCATTTTCATAATATTCTCTTTCAAGGCATTACATGCCGTGAATTTCATACCAGTGGTCCATAACCTTTCCCAGTCTTCAAACATAATGTTGTACCCAATGTCCTGAGCCCATTTTATCATGGCTGATTTGACTGTCTCATCCTGAGTGTTCCATTTAAGCAGCAAGATATACATTCTCGAAAGTACCTTGGTCTTTGGTTCCAACAATTCTGTCTCTAGTTTCGATTTTTCCACCTGGAAACCTGTTCTTTTGTCCAGCTTAAAACCTCTTGAATTTGAGCATAGTGAAGCCAATTTTGCACCTTATTCTTTAATTTTTCATAACTCTGCAGCCTCCAAGTTTCTCCTACTTTTTCCCCATATTTCAGCCAACCAACCTCCATATTAGGTTTTTTCCGGGCCTTGGCCTCTGCTGGTGAAAGCCACCTCGGAGTCTTACCCTCTAATAAGTCCTTGTATTTTGTCCAGACCATAAATATTGATTTTCTAACAATATGATTTTTGAACATTTTATGAACCTTTACCTTGTCGTACCACAAATATGCATGCCAACCAAAAGCATTATCAAACCCTTCCAGATCTAGAACATCAGTGTTCTCAAGAAGTAACCAATCTTTCATCCAGCAGAAGGCCGCAGCTTCATAATATAATCTCAAGTCCGGCAGGGCAAACCCCTCTTTCTTTCAAGTCAGTTAGTATTTTAAACTTTATCCGGGGCTTTTTGCCCTGCCAAACAAACTTGGATATATCCTTCTGCCACTTTCCAAAACATTCCACTCTGTCCACAATCTGTAGGGTTTGAAACAAAAATAACATTTTCGGCAATACATTCATTTTTATAGCAGCAATTCGACCTAACAAGGAAAGTTTCAATCTTGACCAGATTTCCAAATCTTTTTGATTTCCAGCCAACATTTTTCATAGTTGTCTTTAAATAGATTCAAATTTTTCGCTGACAAGTGAACCCCTAGGTATTTCACTTTTTTACCACACTTAGTTCTGTTTCCTTCTGAAACCGATCTATTTCTGAGGGTGTCAAGTTTTTCCCCAAAACCTTAGTTTTTTGCTTATTCAACTTAAATCCCGCCACCCGACCAAACTCATGAATCAATTCTAATACTCTTTTTGTACTCAATGTGAGTACAAAAATGTGAGGGCGATCTGGCTGCGACATCTGTCACCCCATTGATCGCCAGGGTTGATTCGGCTGATCTGGCTGGCTAGGCGGGTGTCCCCTTCCTCCCTCACCGCTCCATGTGCGTCCCTCCCGAAGCTGCGCGCTCGGTGGAAGAGGACGACCATCCCAGATAGAAGGAGTGTACCGTTCTTCGGTCAAGGGTATACGATAGCTGCGCTCCCCTGCTAGAACCTCCAAACAAGCTCAAACCTATCCATTCTTAAGGAAATCAGCCCTGAGTGCTCACTGGAAGGACAGATCGTGAAGCTGAGGCTCCAATACTTTGGCCACCTCATGAGAAGAGAACACTCCCTGGGAAAGACCCTGATGTTGGCAGAGATGGAGGGCACAAGGAGAAGGGGACGACGGAGGACGAGATGGTGGGACAGTGTTCTCGAAGCTACAAACATGAGTCTGACCAAACTGTGGGAGGCAGTGGAAGACAGGAGTGCCTGCCGTGCTCTGGTCCATGGGGTCACGAAGAGACGGACATGACTAAACGACTAAACAACAACAAAAGTTTGTGCTGAGAATTGTTCGGGGAGACCCCGGTTCCACTCACAGAAGTCACAATCCCTAGAGTGGTTTAAGAATCAACCCTTCTTCCCAGGGAAACTCTCTGGGAACTGTAGTTCTGTGAAGGGAACAGGCGCCTCTCCGTTTTTGCTCAGACGAAATTTCCCAGCTGGATGAATGGGTATCCACTGTGGGTGGGAGCCAGGACTCAGAAAGGCAGGCGGGCAGAGGAACCCAGATTGTTCTCTCCTCAGCTCCCAAGTGATATATTCCCAGCCTCACACCCTTACCTGCTCAGGTAAAACAGAAGCAATTTTCATTTCACCACAAGGAAGAGATGGCGTTTCTGGAACCCATGGAGACTTCTCTGCTTTGGGGACATCAGTGGCAGCTTTCACAAACAGTTCCCAGTCCTGAAAAGCCAGCAAGCATCCAAACTAGGATTTGGCGTGAAATTTATGGCGTGTCATAACATCAAAGAAAATATGTCAAAGATGCAGCCCAGATGGTACCTCACCCCCTCAAGACTATCGAAGATGTATAAAAATTTAGCGAATACTTGTTGGAGGTGTGGTGGGAGTAATGGCGACATGTATCATATGTGGTGGACATGTAGGAAGATCAAAGTGTTCTGGGGCTTAATTTACGAGGAGTTGAAAAGAAATGTTTGGAATAACTTTTTTAAAAAGACCAGAGGCATTTCTGTTAAGCATTGTTGGCAGGGACATCCCGAAGGCCTTTAGGGAGGTATTCTTATACGCAACGACCGCAGCTCGGACTTTGGTGGCAAAGGGGTGGAAGGAACAAGAAGCCCCGACAATAACGGACTGGCATTACAAGCTACAAGAAGTTGCTGAAATGGCACAGTTAACAAATACCCTGAGAGGCAATTCAAAACAAAAAATTATGGAAAAGTAGGATAGATATAAAACATATGTTCAAAAATACAGTAAAGGTTCGCTATCTATGCTTGCATTTGATTGACGTTGGAGTGAGACTGAGTTGAGAAATAAGACTAAGAGCACATATTGATATAGGAATGTATTAGATAAAATGTAAAGAAATATACAATAATAAGAGTATATTCATTTGTAAAAAAAGGAATATACAACGGGAAAGACAGGCAGTCTAGTGTATATGATTTTTTGGGGGGGTAGTTTTTGTTTTTTTCTCTTTGTTCTTTTTTTTATTTGTTTCATTTTCTTTCTAGGTATATAAAATTTGTATATAATTTATATATACAGTGGTACCTCGGGTTACATACGCTTCAGGTTACATACACTTCAGGTTACAGACTTCGCTAACCCAGAAATAGTGTTTCAGGTTAAGAACTTTGCTTCAGGATGAGAACAGAAATCATGCAGCGGCGGCACAGCGGCAGCAGGAGGCCCCATTAGCTAAAGTGGTGCTTCAGGTTAAGAACAGTTTCAGGTTAAGTACAGACATCCGGAACGAATTAAGTACTTAACCCGAGGTACCACTGTGCATGTTGGAAATTATATTCTAGTAAGTCCTGTAATGTAATATGACAACGTTTACCGATGTAATGTAAGAATGTTAACAAATAAATAAAATGCATTTTTTTTAAAAAAAAGGAAGCATCCAAACTAAGAAAGTTAGAGGCAAAGGAGACTTAGCTTGGTGGGGTGTGTTCACTACGCTCTCCGTGGGTGATCGGCGGGGGGTGGGGTGGGGCACGGGGACCTAGTGTGGAGTTTTGACGTTTGTCAAATCCTACTGGTCCCTGTGAGGACAAGACGCTGAACTATAGATGGACCCCCTTTGGCCGGATCCAGAAGCCAAGCTCTTTGCCTGTTCCTACGATTCAACAATTCCGTGTCTGCCCAAAAGCTCGCACACACCAGAGTATGAATGTTCATCTTGATAAAAAGGTGTCGTTTCCCACGGACTGTCTCACCAGAGTGGTGCATGTTCTGGTTATCTCCCGCTTGGACGACTGCAATGTGCTCTACGCGGGGCTACCTTTGAAGGTGACCCGGAAACTGCAACTAATCCAGAATGAGGCAGCTAGACTGGTGACTGGGAGCGGCCGCCGAGACCACATAACACTGGTCCTGAAAGACCTACATTGGCTCCCAGTATATTTCCGAGCACAATTCAAAGTGTTGGTACTGACCTTTAAAGCCCTAAACGGCCTCAGCCCAGTATACCTGAAGGAGAGTCTCCACCCCCATCGTTCAGCCCGGACACTGAGGTCCAGCTGCAAGGGCCTTCTGGCGGTTCCCTCCCTGAGAGAAGTGAGGTTACAGGGAACCAGGCAGAGGGTCTTCTCAGTAGTGGCACCCGCCCTGTGGAATGCCCTCCCACCAGATGTCAAGGAAATAAACAACTCCCTGACTTTTAGAAGACTTCTGAAGGCACCCCTGTTCAGGGAAGTTTTTAATGCTTTGTTTTATTGCATTATTATTATTATTATTATTATTATTATTATTATTATTTCTCCTTCCTTGTGCTTTAATCAAGGTCTGCCCAACTCTGATATGGGATCCTCTATTTCAGTAATCCCTTGCCACCTGACCACCTTGTAGCTGGGCTAGTTAGAGAAAGAAAACAAGAGTAGTGCACAAATGAAACTGCCGGCACATTTGCAAAGCTAAGCAGGGACCAGTATGGTTTCAAATTGGATGGGAGACAACATGTTGAGATTCCTGCATTGCAGGGAGTGGACTAGATTATCCTTGGGCCCCATTCAACTCTACGATTCTAAACTCTCTCACCCTGACAATTAGGTCCAGTGGCGGACGACTCTGGGGTTGTGGTGCTCATCTCGCTTTATTAGCTGAGGGAGCCGGTGTTTGTCCACAGGCAGCTTCAGGGTCATGTGTCCAGCATGACTAAGACACTTCTGGCAAACCAGAGCAGCGCATGAAAACGCCGTTTACCTTCCCGCCGGAGTGGTACCTATTTATCTACTTGCACTGGCGTGCTTTTGAACTGCTAGGCTGGCAGGAGCTGGGACTGAGCAACAGGAGCTCAGCCCGTCGCGGCGATTCGAACCGCTGACCTTCTGATCAGCAAGGCCTTGGCTCTGTGGTTTAGACTACAGCGCCACCCGCATCCTAAAAACTGCATTTAAAACAGAATTCAGTTTTTAGCATTGTCTCCTGGATGAGATTGGCTTTCCTTTTGGGGTCTGGGGTTCAGCAGCTCTCTGCCCAGGAATTCCCAGGAAGGGATTCTGCCTTGTCAAGGAAAGTGCAAGCATTTTAGTGAACGACAGACATATGGGGGGACCAGAGGACAGTTTCTAAGAATGCAGTAGAGTTGAGATGTAAAATTTCCAGAAATTTTGAAACCCCGTTATTTCCGGGGGGAAAGGAAATTTTGGGGAAATTGGGGGGGGGGGGATTCAGTGTGCAGTGCAACAATAGAAGACACAACATATACATGCAGTTTATTCTATCTCACTTTCTGAACTACTGCTATCATTTTCCATTTCTTCTTCCTCTTCCTCTTTGTCATTTCCCCCATGGAATTCTAAAAAACGGCTTTGGGGAAAATGGGGGGGACTGTCCCCCCCCCATTTTTCCGGTTTTTTCCTCAGATATGCAGATGACACAACCTTGATGGCAGAAAGTGAGGAGGAATTAAAGAACCTTTTAATGAGGGTGGAAGAGTAGAGCGCAAAATATGGTCTGAAGCTCAACATCAAAAAAACGAAGATCATGGCCACTGGTCCCATCACCTCCTGGCAAATAAAAGGGGAAGAAATGGAGGCAGTGAGAGATTTTACTTTCTTGGGCTCCATGATCACTGCAGATGATGACAGCAGCCACAAAATTAAAAGACACCTGCTTCTTGGGAGAAAAGCAATGACAAACCTAGACAGCATCTTAAAAAGCAGAGACACCACCTGGTTAAAGCTATGGTTTTCCCAGTAGTGATGTATGGAAGTGAGAGCTGGACCATAAAGAAGGCTGATTGCCGAAGAATCGATGTTTTTGAATTATGGTGCTGGAGGAGACTCTTGAGAGTCCCATGGACTGCAAGATCAAACTTATCCATTCTGAAGGAAATCAGCCCGGAGTGCTCACTGGAAGGACAGATCCTGAAGCTGAGGCTCCAATACTTTGGCCACCTCATGAGAAGAGAAGATTCCCTGGAAAAGACCCTGATGTTGGGAAAGATGGAGGGCACAAGGAGAAGGGGACGACAGAGGACGAGATGGTTGGACAGTGTTCTCGAAGCTACGAACATGAGTTTGACCAAACTGGAAGGAAGTGGAATACAGGAGTGCCTGGCGTGCTCTGGTCCAGGGGGTCACGAAGAGTCGGACAAGACTAAACGACTAAACAACAACAACAAGGTGCTACTGGAAGGAATCTTTTAAAAAAAATTCTTCTGTTTCGACTACGGCAGACAACACGGCTACCTACCTGTAACTCGGTATTTCATCAGCAGAGTTCTATTCTGAAACATTGCCTTTCACTAGACTATGCAACATGGAAACTGTCTCGCTAACACACATATATTTTGAAATGTTTGACTGCTCTTCCATGCAAAACTGATGTATCTAAAAATTGTATTTAAAACATAATTTGGTTTTTTAATATGTGCTGGATGAGGTTGCATCTTCTTCCTTTCCCAGATTATCAGATAAACAAATACCTGCACATAGCTGCATAGTGGATTTCACATTTCCAGATTGTGTGTGTGTGGGGGGGGGTGTTACAGGAAATACTAGGGGAGGGGAGAGGTGGGGGGAGAACACACAGCCCAAATACATCCCATCAGGAACCGGCCACTGCCTGGATATTTCGGAGACATAAAACTGAAATCCCTCCTAGGCAGATGAAGGTGAAGAAACAAACATCCTGAAACAGTGACCTATTAACACTCTAGACACAGGCTGGAAAATCAATGCATCTTCTATATTGCTCTAATTTCCCTCTCTCCAAAGGTGTCATGGACTTTGAAGACACTCAAACTCAGGACACAAGGGAGAAGCGTGCCAAGAGGAAGGCATGCATGGCAAACCCTAACCATGAACAACTCCCACCTGGAAAGCTATGTCCCCACTGTGGAAGGACGTGTGGGTCCAGCATTGGCCTCCACAGTCACTTACGGACTCATTGGTTTTTTTAAATAAAATTTGTATTCATTTTTCTTTTTCATTCATTACATACATCTCAAAGTCTTAACATTTACTATGTATTCCTTCCGCCCTCCCCTCCTAGGCTTCCCCAACTTCTGCTTCTGGTTTGAAGAAGAAGAGTTTGGATTTGATATCCCGCCTTTCACTCTCTTTAAGGAGTCTCAAAGTGGCTAACATTCTCCTTTCCCTTCCTCCCCCACAACA